TTGTGATCATCAGCGCTTCTGTACTATGCTAGGTCTTGTGCCTACTTGGCCTCACTTGCTTACCTCTTGACTTTCCTTGTTCTGTGATCTATATATACCTGTACTTGCTTGTTTACCTTTATATATGAACTTGCATGTGAACTGGCCTTGTGGCCTTTGAACCTGTGCTCAGACTGTGTGGTGACGTTGTGATCCACCCTGGGCTTGCTTTGCTTTGCTTTGCTTGACTGGTCTTGTGACCCCTAGTTCTCCCCCACTTTGCCTATGGGGGTGTGTCAGATATATATGCCTTAGCCTATGTAGGCTGTAGTGGGGTAGACACTAAGGGGTACAGCTTTCATATTTGTATCTCACACTTTCCTAGTTCATTCATTCCTGTTTTTCTTTCTTCACATCGCGTGGTTTTTTACCTGTTGTTAGTGACTGAATCCGTGACCCCACTTACCAAACCCGTCAGAAAACCCGATACAATGACCGTACGTGTTTTTTGTTTTACCGTATTCTCCCGGACATAACACCCTAGGGTATAGCTAAAAATAAAGGGAAAAAATGGGGGGGGTCTCCTCATAGGAAAAAAATACATAATACCCGGGTCTTATTATATTGCACATTTTTTTATAAGCAGAACTGAATGGAAACAAAAACAGGGGTCTGGCCTTATTTTTTTTTTTTTTATCAGGGCCGCCAAACCGCGTCTACGAGGATAACGTCGGCCTCCACTGGAATCTGCCACATGGCAAATTCCAGTGGGCCCACTGTGCCACCTGATTGGTTGACATCAGTGCCAACCTTGCGCAGCTTGGGTTCATGCAGTACGAGGCCGGAATCGCGCACGGTGCTGTGTTGTCACTGTACCTGTGACCCCTTGACTGCCGTGTACGGTAGTCACGTCCAAGCTTCCTCACCCAAGCTTGCTCTTCTCTTCGTCAAGCGGTTCCAGTGCACGTCTTTGACAAGTGCTCGGCAGGCTATGAGAGCGTCTCCTTCCTGTGCACGAGGGTATCGTCTTTAAAGTCATTTCTCCCATGGCGAGTGACATCGACCTGCCTTAGTTCCCAAGCATGGCTTCATCTCCAGATTCTAGCAGTACGGTAGATAGGCGGCAACGGCCTGTTTCCACCAATCAGACTAGCGCTTCTGCACGCGCACGGACGTCTCCTCGCCCGATCTTTCCTCAGCCGGATGCTCCCGGTAGTGCTTCTACCAGGGATGAACCGAGCAGTAGCTTGGACCGTCCTCGCCCTACCCTTCCTCGAGTGGTTGTCCCCACGTTCCTGGAGCGGAACCGCCCGCAGGGACAGCAGAAGCGCAACGCCGATGCTGACCCGCCATCCCCTCGCCATCGCATGACGAAACGCCAGCGCAAGGGAATCACCGCGAAGGAGAAGCTCCACTGGTTGAAGGTGCAGCCATGCCAGATCCGCGATTGGAAGAAGATGAGGGAGCGGCTGGAGGTCTCTTCCAGCTGCCGTCGTCGCCTCATGGGAGCTGGCCGCAAGTCCAAGTTCCCTTTCATGGAACGGGCGGTCTACCGCCAGTTCCTTAAGCACAGGGGGAGGGGGCTCGCCGTTTCGGTCAGCATGCTCCAGAAGTGGAGCGCCAAGTACATGAAGCACCGGATGCCCGGGGTCAACTGGCGCGCATCGTTCCGCTGGGCGACTCGTTTCCGCGCGCGCTGGCATCTGGCGAGGCGGGTGAAGACGAAGATGGGACAGAAGTTGGCAGCGGGTAAGTGTTGCGCCGTCGTGCTCCTTGATTGCCATCTCAGTGCTGAGCTAATGTGTCTCGTGGCTTTGCTTGCAGATTGCAAGGCCAAGGTGGAGTCCTTCTGGGAGTTTGTGCGCCAGATGCGCTCTCTGCACGACTACCCGCTTGACCTCATCTTGAACGCGGACCAAACCCCGCTTTTCCTGGAGATGCCGGCGGAGCGCACGCTCGAAATGAAGGGAGCGCGGACGGTTCACGTACGGAGTGCGGGCTATGAGAAGGAGCGTGTTACTGTCATGCTGGCAGTAACTGCGAGCGGGCTCAAGCTGCCGCGGTACGTGGTGTTCAAGCGCAAGACCATACCGAAGGTGCCCATCCCTGCCGGTAAGCGTAGCACGTTTAGGATGATGTCACTACTCTAGCCTGTCAACAGTCGCAACCGAATTTGACCCTGACGTACTGGTATTCTTTGGTAGGTGTGGTGGTCCGTGCACAAGACAAAGGGTGGATGGACGAATCACTTGTGCAGGACTGGATCACCCAGGTGATGGTGCCGTTTCTGAAGCCCTTGCGTGAATCAACTGGACGTCGCAGGGAGGCCTTGGTTGTGCTCGACTCCTACCGCGGCCACTTGACTGAGGCGGTCGGGCAGACCATGCGGATGTTTCGGCTTTCACGGGCTGTCATCCCAGGGGGCTGCACTCCGCTAGTGCAGCCTCTGGATGTGTCGATCAACCGCGCGTTCAAGTGCGGTGTGCGTCATCGCTACAGTGGCTGGTTCGAAGAAGAGGGCATCAACACCACCACCAAGTCCGGTGAGTTGAACCATGACATCCGCATGTGTAACTTTGAATCAATGTCGGCTTACGCTCTGGAAATTCACATTTGTCCTTGTCTACCCTTCCCCGTCCCTCAGGCAATCTCAAGAAGCCGCCAGCGGAGTTGGTGCTCCGCTGGATCGATGAGTCCTGGGAAGCAATCCTAGAGGAGCTCGTGAAGAAGGCGTTCGTCACGTGTGGGATCTCCACCCCCATCGATGGCAGCGAGGACCACCTCATCCTTGCCCACATGCGGGACAAGGGTGAGGTGGAAGTCCTTGACGACGTCAACGACCTGGTTGACGACGAGCTCGTCGTCAACCCCTTCTACGCCGAAGTCCCCATGCCGGCCGAGGAGCTGCAGGCGGCGGCAGAGGAGGCTGACGCCGCTGAGGAGGACGCGGAAGCGGCGGCGGCAGAGGAGGAGGGGGGCGTGCTTGAGGAAGGCGGGGAGGCAGAAGAGCCCAGCGATGACGAATGGTGGCGCCCTGGCCGCTTTGACGGGGAAGACTGTGAAGAATGGCATGCAGGAGACGATTCTGAGTAGAAGGCACTTTGTATAGAGTTTTTTTAGGTGAAATTGTGGATGTGAGGTGCTCTTGTGGTGATGTTTCTGCAGTCTAGGTGACATTGTCGATGACTATGTGCTGGCACATTACTTCTGAGTACCTGTAAAGTACCCTGTATGCAATGTACAGTAAGCAAATTCAGTATTTTTGCCACCCATAACACCCCCCCCCCGGGTCTTATAGAGAATCAGGCAAAAAGGGGGGTATAGTAGAAACGAGGCTCCCCATAACACCCACCCCGCACAAGCTACCTGGGGGTGTACAATTATGGGGGGGTGTTTTGTCCGCAGGGCTGACGTTTCATTTTAAGCCTCCCTGATTCCGGGGAAAATTTTCCCCCTCGATTATGGGTGCACATTTTCCAGAAAAGCAGTACCCTGATTGCTCAGGGTTGTAAAGTAGTTAACACTGATTGTTCAGGGTCGAGAACTGAACATCAGAGTAGTAACGCGCGCTTTGTTACCGGGGACAATATCCCCACTCTCCATAAAGTCTGCGCGCTGTGTTTCCTGCTGGCCGTACACTCGACTGATTTGTGCAGGGCGGGTGTGATTGACCTGTTCGAGTCACAGATTTCCGCTGTCAGAGCCTATTTCGACCAATCCCAGCAAAGTATATCTGACATTGCACATTCACGCGATTTCGATGGTAGGTGTATCAGAACGAAGTTTCGAAGAAACTTCGTCTCGATAAAGCGGGAAGGGGGGGGATTACGCACATGCGGGGGGATCACTGCGATCAATCCAAGGCGGGGTCATCAGAACGAAACTTCCGAGAAACTTCCTCTCGATAAGTCAGGGTCCACACAGTCGATACTCTGTTAAGTCAGGGTCCACTAACAGCCTAGTCTGTTACACTGTACTCAAAATCAGGGATAGCTAAACTATTAATCTGATTGGATCAGGGCTGGAAATTCAATAACTCGGAAATTTCAGTCTCCACGAAGTGGAAAGCCTGAATCACCCTGAAATCAGGGTAATTACCCTGATAAAATCAGCCCTGTTTGTCCGGGAGTATACGGTACCATTCACGTTATCGAGTCCCAAGTTGGTTACTTATGGCATATTTTCCCTTGTTTACGAGAGCCATTTACAGCGTGTCACCTCGTAACGAGTTTGCGTACCACCATAAACTCTGTCATTTAGCGGCAGCAGCAAGGAGATTCTGTCGTGGTGACGTATTAACTGTCTAAGATGACAACGCTGCTGGTTGCTACACTATAAATGTTGATGTCCCAAATCCGTATCTGTTCAACAGATAATACTCAGAGAAGTCATTAAAGATTCAAGTACGGTATTGAATAATGAAACCTCCATAGTGACAAATCGTTTCACTGGGAAAGGCCATGACATAGAGAGCATGGCGGCTACAAGAACTGGAATCCCCAATGTGGTTACCTACCACTGCAAGCACTTGGTCTATTTCTTGCTCAACAGAGCTATTTTTATCCGTATCCACGTTTCTACTCTACACTTGGCTGATCTGATGATGCCGTTACAAGAGAGTCGGATGCGGTTACCACTTCGGGCACTTCGTCAAGAACGGAGTTGATCTCTTGCTCGAAAGTGAGCTTGGCTCGGTTCGACTTCCCACCCACGTACAGTGTTGATCCCACTTGGACTGCCCACACCTGCATGCAATGAGATGGGTCGAATCAGGGGTGTGAATTCGCGCCCTTGGTTCAAAAGTGAGCTTGGCTCGGTTCGACTTCCCACCCACAAACAGTGTTGATCCCACTTGGACTGCCCACACCTGCATGCAATGAGATGGGTCGAATCAGGGGTGTGATGGAAATCCGCACAGTTGGTTCAAAAGTGAGCTTGGCTCGGTTCGACTTTCCTCCCACAAAAAGTGTTGATCCCACCTACACTGCCACACAGCCACTGAGAGGGCTGGGGGAGCCATGTCATGTCATGCCAAACCATCTTACCTGCGAGTGCGAGAGACAGCTGATGGCAGTGGTGAGCATGTCAGCGCCAAAGAGTGGGAGAGAAGAAGAGAGGAGGGAGAATGGGAAGCGGCTCACCTGGGAGTGAGAGAGGTAGCTGATGGCAGCGGTGAGCATGAGAGCACCGAAGCCAGCATACACGTACGGCACGCCAGGGTCCATTTTCAGTTCCAGCCCCGTGCTCCCGATAAGCTCATCTATCACCAGCTTCTTCCCCTCCACTGTGATTGGCCGGTTCGACCCCGGCCGCCTCACCCCCACGAACTCGCCCTTTGAGTCGTATATGACAACGTTTTGAAGGTCCCTCGCCAGTATGCTTCTACATGGGTGGGTAAAGGGAAGGAAGGAAAAGGGAAGGAAAAGGGTTTGATGTTGAAGGATGATACTTGAACAACTCCGCTGCAAACCCACAAACTTGCCCTTTGAGTCGTAGATCACTAAGTTCTGAAGGTCCCGAGCCACAATGCTTCTGCACTAGGGGGACGATGGTATGGGGAAAGGGTTGAGAAGGGGTTGGGAAAAGGTTGGGAAAGGGTTGGGAAAGGGTTGGGAAGGGGTTGGGAAGGGTTAGGAAGGGTGCTGGTTGGTTGGTTTGACCCCGGCTGCCTCACCCCCACGAACTCGCCCTTGGAGTCGTTCATCACCACGTTCTGAAGGCCACGACGAGCAAGCATGCTTATGCAGGGATGATTTTTTAGTCGACTCAAAAATCTTCTGCAGGGATGATTTTTGAGTCGACTAAAAAATCGCCTCATCACCTGCAGAGATGAGAAAATGGGGGTGAGGGGTTTGATGTTTCAAACCTTGTTGAATCCCACAGGCCTTGTTGAAGGGATTCGTTTCAACAAGGCCGCACGCAGCAACCCCACGATATTCATTCTCTTGGTGGTTGCTTCTCACAAATTTCATTCTGCCCCAACTCACATGCCCGTGGTGGTTGCTTCTCCTCCCTCAGCACTCTCCTCCTCCCCTGTCGGCAAGAACGTCCCGAAAAGTTTCTGGCTGCTGCCCGGCTCCTGGAGCGACGCCATGGGCAGCTTGAAGGGCTCTCCACCGTCGGATCGCAGCTGGACGGCTGAGATCGCCCAGTCGGTCTGGTACATGGTGACTCCCTGGCAGCGCAGGGGGTCGTTGACGCTTATAGTCTTTTGTTGAAGCTCCCGCCCATACAGGTCTGTTACTGACAGGTCTGAGAAGAATTGCTTCACCTGGTGGGATGGGAAGCAAGGAGAGGAAACGAGGGTGCAACATGGGCAATGGATCGTTGCCCATAAAGGTCTGTTACTGAGAGGTCCGAGAAAAACTGCTTCACCTGTAGGAGGAGGTGGGGGAAACGGGCGCAAGGGGGGTGAGACTTTTGAGAATTCTCAAAAGACGCAGCAATATAGCGCAGCGGGTCGTTGACGCTAATGGTCACCTTGACTCATTGTTCGAAGGGCTGCAGTAGTTGAAAAACAATGAGTCAAGGTGACCCTTGGGGCAGCGCAGGGAGTCGTTGACACTGATGGTCTTCCTCTGTAGCTCCCGCCCATACAAGTCTGTTACTGACAGGTCCGAGAAAAACTGCTTCACATGTAGTGAACGGGGAGTGAGGGATGGGAAACCAGGAGGAACAGAGTGAAACAGGAGGCAAGGCGGGCAGCGCAAGGGATTGTTGACGCTGATGGTCTTCCTCCGCAGGTCTCGGCCATATAGATCAGCCACTGAAAGGTGCTTCACCTGTAGGAGGAGGTGGGGGAAACGGGCGCAAGTGGGGCAGCACAAGGGATCGTTGACGCTGACGGTCTTCCTCTGCAGGTCTCGTCCATATAGATCAGCCACTGAGAGGTCTGAAAAGAACTGCTTCACCTGTTGTGAAAGGAGGGGTGACGGAAGAGAAAGGAACCAGGGAGAAACAGGAGGCAAAGGGGGGGGCAGCGCAGGGGGGGGTTGACGCTGATGGTCTTTCCGTCAGTCGCTGATGGTCTTTCTCTGCAGCCTTCGCCCATAAACGTTTCTGACTGACGGGTCTGAGAACTACTGCTTCACCTGTTGTGAAGAAGACTGTTTAAGTAGGAAACTTCTAAGTTGACTGAAAAACATGCACCTCCCCATTCGGCCGATACTCAATATAGAATCGGTTTACGTGCACAAACATGTTCATGGCTGTGGTGGGCCGGGCAACGGAAGGACAGAAAACCGCTGGTGCATATTAAATGGTAGTAGCATTACCTATCCACCTTCAGAGGATGACCTCTCACCTCGCCATTCGGTCGATACTCGATGTAAAACCGATTCACATGCACAAGCATGTTCATTGCGGTGGTAGGCCGGGCAAAGATGCTGTTGCCCTGCAGCGCGGAGGGTACAACCACGTCTAGCCCCTGCGGCGTCAGGGTAGTCCCTTGGAAACCCCCAAGCGCACTGTAGCACCCCCCGGCCATGACCAATAGCAGCGCAGCGTGCACGCCTATAGGAGCTAGTCGCCCCACCAGGCCTTTAAACGCGTACATAGCTGATCCTTTCTGGAAGACCTGTGGGGGGGACGATGGAAGAGGGGAGGGGGTTGAGGGGGAGGAGGAAGGGGAGGGAATGTAAGAGTAAGACAGGTCAATGCATACAGGGCGTACTAGCAGTGCTGCGTACATGCCTATAGGGGCAAGTCGACCCACCAGGCCTTTAAACGTGCACATAGCCAGTCCTTTCTGGAAGACCTGCGGGGGAACAATGGGAAAAGGAAGGGAGAGGAGAGGAAGGTAAGACATCACTTGGTCACCACATAGCAGCCCGCCTATGGGCGCTAGTCGCCCCACCAGGCCTTCAAACGCGCACATAGACGAACTTATTTGGAAGACCTGGCCAAGAGACACAGGGCGAGGGGGGGGTGGGGGAAGAGGGGGGAGGGGGAGAGGAAAGGGAAGGGAATGGAGGTAAGGTAAGGAGCTGCCACATAGCAGTGTGCAAGCTTATGGGAGCTAACCACCCCACCAAGCACTTAAAGGCGTGCAGGTACGAGCCACGCACCACTTCTACCGAGCCTCACACCACATCTACCGAGCCTCACACCACATCTACCGAGCCTCACACCACATCTACCGAGCCTCACACCACATTTCACCGAGCCTCACACCACACCCACCAAGCCTTGTACCCCACCTGATAGCCCTTGCGCATGAGCAGTGTTGCCAGGTCAGCAATCTGCGCTCTCTCCAGCGAATCCGAGAAGTCCATCTGACGGAGCGACTCCGGCCGTTGGATGAAGGACCACCTGATTGGTCGACGTACAGGATTTGAAGAGGGAAATCGGGGAAGGGATAGGGCGGAGAGCGGGGGGAGAACAATGAGACTCTTGATCATTCACAGAATAAACCTGCTTTACAACATCTGCCCTTGAGCATGGCCGGCGGCAGCCACAGCAGTAGTAACTCTTGCCCCTACAGTCATTCTCAGCCTTTCTCCCTCTCCCCTCGGCTCACCTCTGTGCGACCTTGAGCATGGGCAGCTGTCGCACTGACGTGCAGGCAGCAAGGGAGGCAGCGAGCAGCAGCAGCAGGGAGAGGAAGAGTGGCGAGCTGTACACGTGGTCGAATCCCAGAGCCAGCACGAGCTGCGTGGGAAGGGTTGTTTGGAGAGGAGAGGAGAAGGAAGGGGGGGAGGAGGAATATGCAGGGTATGTGAAAGGGTCATAGTGAAGAGAGGCACGTAGCAGCAGCAGCAGGGAGAGGAAGAGCGGCGAGCTGTACACGTGGTCGAATCCCAGGGCCAATACGAGCTGCATAAGAGGGATACAATACGAGGGGGGAAAGGGGGGGGGTGTTGGTGAAAGGAAGGAGTGCGGCCTGTTAGCAGGACAGCAGCAGGGAGAGGAGGAGCGGCGAGCTGTACACGTGGTCGAATCCCAAGGCTAGCACGTGCTGCATGGGAGGGGAAGAATGGGGGAAGGTATATGGAGGAAGGGGTGTGTGAAATCCGAGTGGGTGGCAGGCAGAAGCAGCAGCAGGGAGAGGAAAAGTGGCGAGGTGTACACGTGGTCGAATCCCAGAGCCAGCACGAGGTGAGTGGAAGGAGGTGTGAGGGAAACCGGACGAAAGGGGAAGAGGAGAGTTGTTGGTAAAAGGAGCACTCCCCATCAGCAGCAGCAGCAGCAGCAGCAGCAGCAGCAGCAGCAGCAGCAGCAGCAGCAGCAGCAGCAGCAGCAGCAGCAGCAGGGAAAGGAAGAGTGGCGAGGTGTACATGTGGTCGAACCCCAGAGCCAGCACGAGCTGCGTGGTTGCGTTGAGATGCATTGGGGAGCAGAGGGGGAGGGTGGAGGAGTATGAATGCTAAGGGTTGGTGAGAGGGTGATGGGGAAGAGCGGCGAGGTGTACTCGTGGTCGAGCCCCAGTGCCAGCACGAGCTGCGTGGGAGGAAAGGGGTGACTGGGGAAAGGGGGGAGGTTGATGAAAGGGGTACGGCACGGCCCATTAACGGCAGTGACTGGGAGAGGAAGAGCGGAGAGATGAAACCATGGTCAGATCCAGAGGCCCAACAGGCGCTCACTGGGACGGGTGACTGGAGAAATGAATTTTGAGGCGCCTCAAAAACCAACAGGCGCTCACTGGGATGGGTGGCTGGAGAAATGCAGCAAAGGGGAGAGAGGGGGGAGGGGAGCTATACACGTGATCAACAGAGGTGAACTTTTAGTCGACTCAAAAATCCAGCAGGGAGGGGGGAGCGAGGTGAGGTGAGGATGTCTTCGTACGTAAACGCCAGGGAGGTGAGGGACAAACTGGAAGTATGACCTTTTGACAATTCTCAAAGAATGGCCATTGTGAGGGACAAACTGGAAGTATGACCTTTTGCCAATTCTCAAAGAATGGCCATTGTGAGGGACAAACTGGAAGTATGACCTTTTGACAATTCTCAAAGAATGGCCATTGTGAGGGACAAACTGGAAGTATGACCTTTTGCCAATTCTCAAAGAATGGTCATTGTGAGGGACAAACTGGAAGTATGACCTTTTGACAATTCTCAAAGAATGGCCATTGTGAGGGACAAACTGGAAGTATGACCTTTTGACAATTCTCAAAGAATGGCCACTGTGAGGGACAAACTGGAAGTATGACCTTTTGACAATTCTCAAAGAATAGCCATTGTGAGGGACAAACTGGAAGTATGACCTTTTGACAATTCTCAAAGAATGGCCATTGTGAGGGACAAACTGGAAGTATGACCTTTTGACAATTCTCAAAGAATGGCCATTGTGAGGGTCAAACTGGAAGTATGACCTTTTGACAATTCTCAAAGAATGGCCATTGTGCGGGACAAACTGGAAGTATGACCTTTTGACAATTCTCAAAGAATGGCCATTGTGAGGGACAAACTGGAAGTATGACCTTTTGACAATTCTCAAAGAATAGCCATTGTGCGGGACAAACTGGAAGTATGACCTTTTGACAATTCTCAAAGAATGGCCATTGTGAGGGACAAACTGGAAGTATGACCTTTTGACAATTCTCAAAGAATGGCCATTGTGAGGGACAAACTGGAAGTATGACCGTTTGACAATTCTCAAAGAATGGCCATTGTGAGGGTCAAGCTGGAAGAACGGCCACCCAAATTTGGAGTTGCTTTTGAGAATTCCCAAGAGGAATCGCTTTTAAACAATTCTCAAAAGAGGAATCGCCATGCAAAAACTAGAGTGGGACCAACATGCACATCAGCAGCAGCCACGGTTTTTAGACATGTCATCACGCACCTGCCAGCTCAGCAGGGTTCCGTCGGGAAAAAGCGCCACGTAATCAGATGGCCGTGCTCCCTGCTCTATCAAGGTGCCTGGGGAGGGGGTTGGGAGAAGGGAGGGGAGGGTGGAAGTGGGGAGGGTGATGTGGGGAGGAGGGAGAAAGTGGGGGGGTGGAGAAAAGGGGGAGAAGGACTCGTGCTAGTTCAAGGCACCCAGAGCGCCCAGCCCGGCCATGGCAAAGAGCAACCTAATCTCGTAAGTGGACTCAATATTCAGTGCATCTAGACACACCCATTCACGCACCCACAGCGCCCAGCCCGGCCATGGCGAAGAGCAACCTAATCTCGTAAGTGGACTCAATATTCAGTGCATCTAGACACACCCATTCACGCACCCACAGCGCCCAGCCCGGCCATTGCGAAGAGCAACCCAATGGCCAGCGGGAATGACGCCAGCTGCCTCAGCGTGCCTCGCCACAGCACATCCACCAGCGCGTATACAAGCAGCATAGCGAATGGCATCTCGTAACTTTTTCTACAAGCACTCATTTTGAGACGTCTCAAAACTCAGCGTGCCTCGCCACAGCGCATCCACCAGCGCATATACAAGCAGCACAGTGAATGGCATCTCTTAACTTCTTCTACAAGCACTCATTAACGCAACGCACCCACAGCGCACAGCCCGGCGACAGCGAACAGCAACCCGATCGCCAGCGGGAATGACGCCAGCCGCCTCAGCGTGCCGCGCCACAGCGCATCCGCCCAGCTGGGGGAGTTTTTTCCACCCCCGCCGCCGCCGCCACCGCTGCCGCTGGCGCCGCTCCGTTCTGTCGCGGCGCGGGTCACTTGGAGAGGAGGTCTGGACGCGCGAGCGCGAAATGCGCCGGGATTCGCGGAGGTTGGAGCTAGGAACGGCGTGGGACGAAGGAGGCATGGAGAGATTGGATGGACGGACGAGAGGCGGGATAGCCGCGAGATAGAGGACGGAGACGAGAAAGGCGAGGGACTTAATCGACTTAAACGCGATCGCGAGCTGAAAGTACGGAATGAGCGTGAAGTTTCAAACTGGGGTGAAATGGGAGCGGGAAATGGCGGGTGACCTATCGCTGTCGCTGATCGTAAAGAGCAAAGCGCCGCCATGGCTTAACCACGTAAGCTGTTTTGTAGCAGGGCTTAACCGGCAAAATGCGTCTTCGTAGCACGTGGCAAGGAGCTTATATCGAGGGGATGAATGCTCTGAATCTGTACAACGAGCTTCGACAGAGCGGAGCTGTATTTATATGTTATAGGACCCCAAGCTAGGAGCTTGTCGAAGCCACCGTGGCTACGGATTCACGTCGCGACGCGCAGTAGGGAGAGCGTGAATCGCAATGACGTCGCTCTACCGTGAAACAAGCGCGTGAATGAACACGCAGGGATGATTGCAGGCGTCTGCTGCGAGAACGCTCCGCGAATCGTGGCGGAGGATGCGGCGTGCCGCTCTGCAGCTGCTGTGGAAGAAGGGACAGCCAATTCTGCTGACGCGGTTTTCGATTGCTTTCGTTACTTCTTTACACCGTACTCAAACGTAAAGCGACCTCCTAAACCTCCCTCCTGAGATGAACATTGTGCTGACGTACTCAGGGAATATCGCGCCACGTGGATGTCGGCCATGAAAAATAGCTTGAAATCACATGGTGTAGCTTTTCCCATACATATCCGCCTACATGCCTACTGGCGTTTTCCATTACATCAATACTACAATCCAGGTCCTAGATCACAATAAGCCACAGAAGTCAGAACGCCAATCAACAGATTAATTGAATATCAAACGATCTCATTCCATGCGTGTAATTTATGTCGGGTTACTTCAAAAACTTCACTTGAGCATGTACTCGTCCTGATTACTATCCAGCCCTTGTTGCCAGACTTGTTCCGCATACGAGCTCTGAAACAATCATGCAACCGAGTCGCAAAAGGTCATCTTGAAAGCTTGAGCTTGAAAGATTCCATTGCAGCTACAAGTTGTTCGCTGATTCCCTTCTCATTGGCCGAATGCCCGGCGTCTGGAACAATCTGATACCACATGAAACAAACAATACAACGTCAAGGAACTCAAGGATACACATACCGTACAAGATGATTGATAGTGCTTGGAAGAATGAGCGTAGCAGCACGACACATGCATAGCGATACAGGCCTTGCTTCATCCGTACCTTGAACTCAGCTTCGGGCCAAGCCTTGTGGAGCTCCCAAGCTGACATGATTGGGCAAACCACATCGTACCGACCCTGAAAGTGTCCGGGCGATTACAGGAACGAACCAGCGCAAGTGAGCAAGCAGAGAAACCAAGGAAGCAGGCGTAACATTGGGCCAAAAAAAAAAAAAAAAAAACAGGGTGAGGGTGGCTTTAAATCCCTCAGAGCTTACCTGAACAATGACAGCTGGGATGTGTCTGAACTTGGGTACAGAGTCTAGCAAGAAGGAGTCGGCTGGAAGGAAGCCCTTGTTCACAAAGTAGTGACTCTCTATGCGCGCAAATGCCTGTGTGGGGGGTGAGTATTAGTAGGGGAGGGTGGAGTGGCGGTCAGTGGCTTGATATATGAGACGTGTTGAGAGCCGCAGGAAGCCCTTGTTCACGAAGCAGTGGCTCTCTATGCGTGCAAACGCCTGTGGGTGGGCGAGTGAGTGCAAGTGGGTGGGAGTGGAGTTGTGAAGAGTGGATTGACTCTTGAGGAGTCAGCTGGAAGGAAGACCTTATTCACAAAGTAGTGACTCTCTATGCGCGCGAATGCCTGTGTGAGGGGTGAGTGGGTGCAAGTGGGGGGGAGTGGAGTTGCCAAGCGTGAGTAAATTGACTCGCTCGCTAACAGCTGGAAGCCCTTTCTCATGGGATGGTCGCTCTCAATGCGCACAAACGCCTGCTTGGAGGGGTAATTGTGGGAGAGTGGGATTTGTGGAGTCAAAGTGCCAGAGAGAACTTGTGAGAAATAGTGGCAGTGAGCACCGAGCCCATCAGGTGAACCGGACTGGACTGACCACTGGATCAACACAGGTGGTCAGGAGTAGCAATAAGCTACCAAAAAAAAAAAAAAAAAAAAAAAAAAAAAAAAAATCGAACACTGACAACGACAGATGACTTGCCAGAGCGAATTTGTCGTCCTCGCCTCGTTTGAGCGAGTCCTCGTTGGGCAGCAGGTAGCTGGTGGCCATCTCCCACTCCGTCCAGTGCCGTGCTGCTGCCACCTGGTGGTGTGGTGTCATGGCAAGGATGATTGGGGAAGATAGGGCAATGGGACAGTGAGGGGCAGCAGGCAGCAGGTAGCTGGTGGCCATCTCCCACTCCGTCCAGTGCCGTGCTGCTGCCACCTGGTGGTGTGGTGTCATGGCAAGGATGATTGGGGAAGATAGGGCAACGGGACAGTGAGGGGCAGCAGGCAGCAGGTAGCTGGTGGCCATCTCCCACTCCGTCCAGTGCCGTGCTGCTGCCACCTGGTGGTGTGGTGTCATGGCAAGGATGATTGGGGAAGATAGGGCAGCGGGACAGGCAGGGGCAGCAGGCAGCAGGTAGCTGGTGGCCATCTCCCACTCCGTCCAGTGCCGTGCTGCTGCTACCTGGTGGTGTGGTGTCATGGCAAGGATGATTGGGGAAGATAGGGCAACGGGACAGTGAGGGGCAGCAGGCAGCAGGTAGCTGGTGGCCATCTCCCACTCCGTCCAGTGCTGCGCTGCTGCCACCTGGTGTAACGGCAGTTGGGATGGGATGCGAGGTAGCAGGTAGCTGGTGGTCATCTCTCACTCCGTCCAGTGCCTTGCAGCTGCCACCTGGTGCAAGATGCAATTATGTAAGGCTGATAATTAAGAAACGTATGGCAGCAGTAGCATGGGTTGGTTAGACAGTAAAGGACAGTAAACGACAGCGGGGTTTCGGCTCGGAGTTATCCGTACCTGCTGCTCAGGCTCGGATTCATCCATACTTGTCAATGAGGCTAGGATTCATCCATTCTGGCTGGTCAGGTTTGAAGTCATCCGTACCTGTTGATCAGGTTCGGAGTCGTTCATGAGTCTCTTGTGGTAAGCTGTCACCAGATCGTGCTGCTCGTCCTTGGGAATGAACTCCCGGTACTTGTCAAACGCTGCAAATGATGAGATTGAGTGCGATGGAGGGGGGGGGGGGGGGGGGGAGTTTAGGCGGAGATGGGTGTGTAGCCGTTACCAGATCGTTGCTCCTCCTTGGGAATGAACTCGCGGTACTTGTCAAACGCTGCAAGTGAAGGTGATTGGTGTCATTGCAAATAAAAAGTTGCGGGGGAGGGGAGGGGGGAAAGAGGGTGTTTTCATATTGTGCTGCTCCTCCTTGGGAATGAACTCGCGGTACTTGTCAAAAGCTGCAGGTGGGGTGCGACCGGGGGGTGGGGTGCGACCGGGGGGTGGGGTAAAGGGAAACAGGAGTTGCTTGTGATTGTGCTGCTCCTCCTTGGGAATGAACTCGCTGTACTTGTCAAACGCTGAGAAGGGAAATTGGGTGTGATTGTGAAGAAAACGTAAGGGGGGAGAGGGAGGGAGGAGGGGGGGGGAGGGAGGTTGGGAAGTGGGTGATTTCAGATCGTGCTACTGCTTTTGAGACGTCTCAAAAGTGCTGCTGCTCCTTGGAAGTGAACTCACGGTACTTGTCAAACGTTGAAAGTCATCACTCATGAGATATTTTGTGAAATATTTATTGTGGAAATTATATTTCACTAAGGCTCTATCGCATCCCCTCACCGCCCACATCCCCTCAACAACCTCTCACCGTCGGGGAAGATAGATTCAGCTCCCTTCTAGTAGAACCACTCCACCTCCTTCCTTCTCAGCAAAAAAAATCCATCACAGGCCACCCTCCCTTGCCGCCCAGCCTCCCTTGCACCCTCCCCTAAACCCGTGCCTCTCTCTCACCGTCGGGGAAGATGGAATCAGCTCCCTTCTGATAGAACCACTCCAACTCCTTCCTTCTCAGCAGAAAGATTCCCCGCAGAATCAAGCCTGGGTAGCACCCTCTCACCGCCCACCTTACCCGCACACCCCCAGCTTCCCTTCACACCGGTCGTTGTCTCACCATCAGGGAAGATGGAGTCAGCTCCCTTCTGGTAGAACCACTCCACCTCCTTCCTTCTCAGCAGAAAGATTCCCCGCAGAATCAAGCCTGGGTAGCACCCTCTCACCGCCCACCTTACCCGCACACCCCCAGCTTCCCTTCACACCGGTCGTTGTCTCACCATCAGGGAAGATGGAGTCAGCTCCCTTCTGGTAGAACCACTCCACCTCCTTCCTTCTCAACAAAAAGATTCCCCGCAGAATCAAGCCTGCGACCTGGAGGTGTGAGAGGGGAAGAGTGGGGGAAGGGCAGACATGGAACTAGTAAAGATTAAGAAGACTTCTCAGCAGGAAGGTTCCTTGAAGAATCAAGCCCCCTAGAGAAATGAAAGGGGAAGAGTGTGAGCTGGAGGGAAAAAAAATTTCGCATTGACGATCAACAACAAATTTCGTGTTTTTGTGAACCAAGCACATACCCTGTCTGGATGTGTGGCTGCATACACGAGCGATAGAGTGGACCCCCATGACCCTCCAAACACCTGCCATGCAGATTCACGCACGCATGCCCACACACATGCACACACGCGCGGGCGCGTGCACACACGCGCACACACACACACACACACACACACACACACACACACACAGGAATAACAGGCGAATAAAACTGATCCGAGCAACCAATCCATCACGCACTGAGCACTTCGCTCTACCCAACACCCCACTCACTCACAGCCACTTATCGACTCCCAGGTGTTTTCTCAGGGTCTCGATATCCTCCACCAATTGCCACGTGGTATTCTCCTCCAGGCACGCGTGGGGAGTGCCAAACCTGCAAGAAACTTGGCGTTCTACCCAGCATTCCACTCACCAGCCACTTATCAACCCCCAGGTGTTTCCTCAGGGTTTTGATATCCTCCACCAGGTGCCACGTGGTGTTCTCCTCCAACCACGCGTGGGGATTCGCCAAACCTGTGAGAAAACTTGGCATTCTACTCATTCAGCATTCCACTCACCAGCCACTTGTCAACCCCCAGGTGTTTCCTCAGGGTCTCGATATCCTCCACCAGGTGCCACGTGGTATTCTCCTCAAGACACGCGTGGGGGGTGCTCCTGCCTGCCCCCCGCTGGTCCAGCAGCACGATGCGGAAGAACGTCGGGTCAAAGAACCGCCTGTTGGCCGGGGAGGTACCACCCCCTGGTCCCCCGTGCAGGAAAATGACAGGCTGGTAGAGGGGAGAGAGGTAGATGGGAGAGGGGTTGATGTTAGCAGGTGTGTGGTTTACTCCTGCTCGCCCCTCGTTGCTCCATCTCGTCGCAAGGACACACAGAGGTGGGGAGGAAGGAACGAAAAGGGGAGCGCTCCTAGTCCTGCTCCTGCCCACCCCCCGCTGGTCCAGCAGCACAATGCGGAAGCACGTCGGGTCAAAGAACCGCCTGTTGGCCGGGGAGGTACCACCCCCTGGTCCCCCGTGCAGGAATATGACAGGCTGGGAGAGGGTGGACAGATAGATGAATCGGTAAGGGCGGTAGGAGAGAAACGGGAGAGGAGGGACTGGGAGAGAGATTATGGATAGCATGGGCTACAAGGCTACGCCTAGCAGATATCTGTTACCTGGCCATTAGGGTTGCCACTCTTCTCTCCCAGTAGACGGTGTGCTCTGTGCATGTCAGAGACGGTCACACCATCTAACTTATACGGCTACACGGGCAATTTTTTAGGCAAGCCATAATTAATTTCCACACCTGGCCTTTGGGGTTGCCGCTCTCCTCCCAGTAGACAGTATGCACATCCGAGACAGCAAGTGTGCCGGACCGATACGGCTCGATGGGGGCGTACAGCTCGTGCCTCACCCGCCCTCGTGCTGCTGCCACGCTCTCGCCCATCTCCTCCTCCGACACCTGCTCTCCCTTTCCCACTCCCTCCCCCTCCCCCTCTCTCACCCCCGCTATCGGACTGTCCCCCGCTCCGTTGCTCTTATTTTCCTCCCAAAATCCCTCTTCGCCCTCTCCTCCCTCCTTTCCCTCTTTGTTCCCTTGGCTGCTGAATGCTGAAGAGTGGCCGGCGGCTGCGGCAATGGGCTTGAGAGATCTAGACTGGGAAGCACCTGAGGCGAGGATAGAAAACGTATGTACGGAACGAGAGTTGTAGGCTGATAATTGAACAAGTATTGTTTCGTTTCGAAACTGGTGAACGGAAAGCAGTAGTGACATTTGAGTCCACACGAAAGAATGGAAGCACCTGAGGCGGGCATTGAAACACGCATTCCAATCGCATAGACCAAAAGATGGCATTCGGAATCTACAGTGAAAACGGGATAACGGGTTACAAGCGTCCGTACAATCCCAAAGATCAAGCACGAGTTTATGGTTGAACACAGATTCACGTTTGAGTAATTTGAAACTATAATAGCTTGCGAAGACAAGATCGCGGCGAGCCTGGTCTCATGGCCTGAATCCGGGCCTGAAAGCGGGCCTGAAACCGGAGCAAATGGCAGAATATGTACGTCGGATCGCATGAATAGCAAGGGAAAATTCGATCTGACAGAATGTGGTTATGCTGGCAGACGAAAGAGATTCATAAATTAAAATGTCACGGTATCTTGAGCGGACTTAAACGTTACATCGGTACAATGTCACGCGACAGATTCCTTTCACTCAGACTGGTTTCAAATGTTTCACGACATAGTCGCACCTGCTCCGTTGCAAACTGAATATCGCTGAAGCGGCAGCTTCGAGAGACAGCCGCTTTGGTTCTCGGAAAGGTAACTGCGCGAAAGGCTATTGCTGGCGAAAAACAAAGCCTTTGGAAAGGTTTGAAGGGATTTTCTGCCGAGCGCAAAGGAGAGCCTGACGGCTGCAGGTATTTTTAGAGACGCAGCGGCAATGGCGGCCATAAATGGTAATGGGGGCCTACTAATGGATGCTAAGGATTCAGTTACCACATTGAAATTAGCAGTCAGGTGAAGCAATGAAGCAATAAAGCTGGCAGTGTTCGCAAGGCAGAATGGGAAGGATGATATCGAGAATGGCCACTGTCAGTGGGAAAGGGATGAATTTGTGCAACTTAAATTGGCCAATACTCATTGTACACTTCTGCAGTGCATATAGATTTTCAAGTTCCACTACCTACCCTACTTAAACATTCTTCACTTTTCCCACAGGCAGCTGCCCTGGCCTTTTTTGCCAGTAACACCCAGATTTTGGCAAGAACGTAAGCACAACAGCTTCCTTTCATATACATAAGCATCACACGAAGGAACAAGACGGAGGGGCATAATGCCCATCACTATATGAGCAACAACATTTATTACATCTTTTGGCCTTTCACACGTTCGGGGGCGGCCAGATCTTCTTAAAGTGCTTGTCAACCTTCTCTGCCTGAGAAACAGCAGAATCAATCTCAGCCTGTAGCAGCTGCCGGGCGCAGGGACCGATATTGGCCATGAACCTTGCCATGTCCCATGGCTTGACCTGCAATAAAGTAGAAAACACATGGAGTAGCGTGAGTCCATACGAGAAAAAATGGTAGAAAACACACTTGAAAGATTGGAGTAGCAAGGGAAACAGGTGCAGGAGTGTACATGACATGGCACACAATTACCAAAGCACACACACACAACCAGCAATTGAGCTCCTACCTTGTCAGCTGCTGCACTGACTGCTGCAGGTTTGAGGTCAGGGGAGGCGGGAGTATCTTTCAGAGCCTCCATCACCTTGAGGGGTACCACCAGGTAATCAGTGCTGCACAATCAAACCGAACAGGGAAAATTAAACATGGTGAGGTAGTGCGCACGTAACAGGAGGGAGTGTCTTTCAAAGCCACGATCACCTTGAGGGTTACCACTAGGTAGTCAGTGCTGCGCGTGAAACAAGACATGATGAAAACATAATATAATAGGGCAAAGTAGTGCGTATGGGATAATGTACACCCAGTTTGTTACAATTGAGTGTAGGTGTGACAGAGGCATATCCATGGCCGCATGTGTGCATGCTGAGCATGTGCATGTGTGCGTAGTACCCAAGCAGGCTGAGTGTGTCGTCCTTGCTGCGGATGTTGGATGCCATGACCTTGGTGGGGAAGCCGTTATGCATGCTATGCTATGCGTCAGTACACGTCGTTAGAGTGTATAAGTGTCTATCTGTGAGACAAAGACATTACTGTAGCAGGCTGAGGGTGACCTACTTGCTGCGGATGCTGGATGCCAGGTGGCATGTACCGGGTGCCGGTATGTGTGCGCAAGTGCACGGCCTCTTGTGTGTGTGTGTGCAACGTCAGGGTTTTTTTTAGAATTCTGAAAAAATCCCCTCTTGTGAGTGTGTGTGTGTGTGTGTGTGTGTGTGTGTGTGTGTGTGTGCGCGCGTGTGTGTGTGCGAGTCAAGACATATCCATGGAGGCTTAGTGCATCTTGCTTGCTGCGAATGTTGGACGCCATGACCTTGGTGGGGAAGTGGTGGCATGTGCCGAGTAGGTGTGCGTGTTCATGTCCATTGCTGCATGTGTGCGAGCCAATGGGTGCGTGCGAGCCAATGGGTGCGTGCGAGCCAATGGGTGCGTGCGAGCCAATGGGTGCGTGCAAGCCAATGGGTGCGTGCGAGCCAATGGGTGCGTGCGAGCCAATGGGTGCGTGCGAGCCAATGGGTGCGTGCGAGCCAATGGGTGCGTGCGAGCCAATGGGTGCGTGCGAGCCAATGGGTGTGTGCGAGGCAATGGGTGTGTGCGAGCCAATGGGTGCGTGCGAGCCAATGGGTGCGTGCGAGGCAATGGGTGCGTGCGAGGCAATGGGTGTGTGCGAGGCAATGGGTGTGTGCGAGCCAATGGGTGTGTGCGAGCCAATGGGTGTGTGCGAGCCAATGGGTGTGTGCGAGCCAATGGGTGTGTGCGAGCCAATGGGTGTGTGCGAGGCAATGGGTGTGTGCGAGCCAATGGGTGTGTGCGAGGCAATGGGTGTGTGCGAGGCAATGGGTGTGTGCGAGGCAATGGGTGTGTGCGAGGCAATGGGTGTGTGCGAGCCAATGGGTGTGTGCGAGCCAATGGGTGTGTGCGAGCCAATGGGTGTGTGCGAGCCAATGGGTGTGTGCGAGCCAAGACATACCCATGGAGGCTGAGTGCGTCCTCCTTGCTGCGGATGTTGGACGCCATGACCTTGGTGGGGAAGTTGTTGCGGGCAATAAACGCACACGCACGGCGCACCTGGTGGGGGATGCGAGAAGATGAGAGAAGATGAGAGAAGAGAGAAGAGATGAGAGAAGAGATGAGAGAAGAGATGAGAGAAAGAGATGAGAGAAAAGATGAGAGAAAAGATGAGAGAAGAGATGAGAGAAGAGATGAGAGAAAAGATGAGAGAAAAGATGAGAGAAGATGAGCCGAGATGGGCAATGGTGAGCATGACAGGGATTGGGGCCAATTATTGAGGCGAAACCACAAGGCCGATCCCCCACCAGCAGATTCATTGCCAAAGGTTGGGGTTTGGAGCAATGCCATCAGCAAGAGCATGTGCGCCTTACCAGGCTGACGCCAGGGTCCTCGCCCTTGGCTGCTGCAGCTTCCACTTCCTTGTCAAATGCGAGAAGGGACGAGACATGTTGGCTCACAACAAGAAGGGGGATAGAGACCACAATGCCCAGAGGAGCTATGCAATCAGCCTTACCAGGCTGACGCCAGGGTCCTCGCCCTTGGCTGCTGCAGCTTCCACTTCCTTGTCGCCTGAGTGCGTGCGTGCCCAGTCCTGGTGGCAGAGGGAAGAAGAGTAGGAGGAAAGGAGAGTGATAGAGTGTTCCCAATTGCACCGTTTCATGATTGGTCCTCGCCCTTGGCTGCTGCAGCTTCCACTTCCTTGCTGCCTGAGTGCGTGCGCGCCCAGTCCTGGCTGGGAGAGGAAGGAGTGGGGAGCGACAGAACTGAGAATGTCGAGAATTTTGATAACACCGTTCCTTCCAGGATAAGCCAAAAGGGCAACTTTTCACAGGAGAACGCCTGAAGTCTCGGTTCAGGCTATCCGGACAGGAAGCGAAGGGAAGCATGATATGTCACGGAAGATCACGATAGGTCATGATACATTCTGCACGTGTGTGCATCGTACCTTGATTCGGCCGACGGGGATTTGAATGACTGCCACGTTGGCCTGCGCACATGCTGACGCCTGGGCGAAGCTGGAGAAATGGCAGGGGGTGAGCAGAGGAGGTGTGTTTAGATTGACTTATAAGACTGAGATGAGACGAGAGGAACGAGAGGGAACCGAAGCTGAAAAGACGAAATGGCGCTTCCACCCACCCCCCCTCTTTATGCCCTCTGCTTCCAGCTGCCTGGCCGGTTGATTTCCTTGCATGTCTTGGAAAACATCCAATACTCTCGTTTTTCCCCACCCCTGACCCCCCAATCGCCCCTCAATTTTGAGACGTCTCAATAATCAATCCAATCCTCTCGTTTTTCCCCACCCCTGACTCCTCAATCGCCCCTCACCTGGCGACGCCAGTGACGTGCTTCTTAATGCCCTCTGCCTCCAGATGCCTCGCCGCTTTCCTTCCTAAAAGAAAAAGATAATCTAATGCTCCCATTCCCCACCACCTCCCTCTTCAATCGCCCCTCACCTGGCGACGCCAGTGACGTGCGTCTTGATGCCCTCTGCCTCCAGCTGCCTCGCTGCCTCGATGCCCTCCCACGTGGCGGGCAGCTTGAACAGCACTCGGTTCACACCCACGTCCACCTCTTTGTACAGATCTGCGAGGTTGCGCACCTGGTAAGAGTAAGGAGGGAAAGAGAGCGGAATGAAACAGGGAGTGGACCTGGTGCGCAGCTTGAACAGCACTCGGTTCACACCCACGTCCACCTCCTTGTACAGCTCTGCGAGGTTGCGCACCTGGTAACGGGTAAAGAGTGTGACAGATAATGACATCGGACGACATTCTAAACGGTTCAGGGGAGTCAAAAGAGGACAGCACTCGGTTCACCGGAACATTCACCTCCTTGTAGAGCTCCGCGAGGTTGCGCACCTGGTTACAAAGAAGAGGAAGGGGAGGAAGGGGGGAAAAAGGGGAATTTAGGTTATAAACCAGTTCTGCTCTCAACTGCCTCGATGCCCTCCCACGTGACGGGTAGCTTGAACAGCACTCGGCTCAGTTTTTGAGTCGACTAAAATACAGACTCATCACACTTGAACAGCACTCGGTTCACGAACACGTCCATGGCGGCCGTGCTGTGCGCCAGCCGAGGGTCCACATTGGTGGACACGCGGCTAGAGAGATGGGACAGACCCTTGCACACAGAACCGTACACAGACCCGAATGGGATGGGCGTCTCACCCAGTCGACCATGGCGGACACCAGCACGTGGCTCCCTTGAGCATGCCAGTGCCAGCACTGCTATGATGTGTGTCTCACTCACCCGGTCGACCATGGCGGCCGTGTTGTGCGCCAGCCTAGGGTCCACCTCGGTGGACACACGCCCGGACACCTCGAGGCTCAGCTCCCTCCCCACGTTCACCAGCGCCTGCACGCATACGTACACCATATACGCGTTTTAGTCATTGCAAGAAACAAAGTATATATGTAAAGTTTCTTGGAGCAGTGGCACTATCTTTGCCAGATTGACCAAGTTTTGACGTCGCAAAACTCAGAGTCGTTCATTGTATAACCTTGTCATGATCAGCTGACATCAAGGCAGTGATGCACACTTCGAGGTTAGGATTCACGCTAGCCAAAAATGGCATAATCTCAGTAGCGATTCCCCATGGTAGCGAGGCTTTTTCCCCATAGCGAGGCTGACCTTATCGAGGAAGCAGGAGAACTTGTTTTCCTCTGCGGCTATCATGCACTTGCCGTATGCCAACGCGCTCTTGATCGCTCCCTGCACGCGCGCGCGGGAGTAAGGGGGACCGTCAGTAAGGACGGTCAGCAGTTGCTTGAAAGGACGGCCAGAGACTGATCGTAGAAATGGCAGGTATACAGTTGGCGGATAGTGAGCACAGGCTATATGTTCCAAATAGAATCACACTTTCATAAAAGCACATCAGGAAAGAAAGGCAATCCCAGTCAAGCACAATCACAAACGAACACACCCTCATACGAGCACGCGCACACTCACGTCGAACTTAGCTTCCCCCAAGGAGGAAACTCCGAGGATGAGAGACGACGACACGGTCGCCGCAGTGGGCTTGAAGCTGAAAAGGTTGTTTACAACGACATAATTGCAAAAAACGGCAAAGGGTTACACATTGTGAAGGTATAAGACAGAAGGTGAACGTAAAATACTGCAAATTGACTTGGCAACATTGTTTCACCTCTCAAATTGGCCGCCGACGATTGAATCGGGAACAATCTCGCTGCTCCTCGAGATCACGTCCAGCTCCGACGGAGACACTGCAATGAGAAATAATAATAAAAATAGAGAATTGATGACATTAAGCAAATTTGGGAAACGAACAAAAAGCCAAGCTGTAATCTACGAGCGCTTGCTGCTTTGACGAGCAACTTGTTGAGGAAAGGTATATGCGTTGTAGAATCTTGTCGTCTGGTAATTAAAGTGGATTTGACAGGCCTACCAGCCATAGCGGCATGAATGGAAGCCGAGCATCGTGTCGCGACGCGGGAACTGACGTTCTTGGAACAAGAAGCGTACGCGGTAAGAGGCAGCGGCGACGGGATGAACGCCGTCTTTGACGCCAAGACCACCAAAGGCTTCTGCGGAACGCGAAATTGCGAATAGTAACAATAAGACAACAACAGAAAAGATTACACAAATGAAGCTTGGTTGAAGTTGGAACTGAAATTCGGGATATGATATTATTATCGTAATCCATTGTGGAGTGTTGACCTGGAAAGTTGACGGATTGAGCCTGATGCCGCAAGACACGCTGACAGCAGACGAAGAAGCCATGATTTTCGTCCAAACGCACAAAAAACGATGTCCGGGAGCAGTGGAAAGAGGAGGAAAGCTGTCAGGAGACAGCGTAAGGAGGCAGAAATTGTCTTAGTAGGAGGAGCTGCTCGTCTTCTTACATATGCTCCATAAAATACTGAATTTCTTGATTGGGTTGGGCGCTAGGAACTAAATAGGAATGGCTGGGGGCTGAAATTCAAGTCCAACTTGTTCTTCTGCACCATTCGACCCGTGCGAGATTCACGATTTCGTGTTTCTTTCGCTTCAGTGAAAGCAGACCAAGAGAATTGCTGCCGGCTTTCGCCTGTTACGAAATTAGCGAGGCACTCCAGGATATTCGAGGCATTCAAGAACTTCAAGATCTGGGACCACCAAGGTTTCACGACCGTCGATATCGCTTAATGACGTGGTCGATGATGTGCCGATGTGGGAAATTTCGCAAACACGATTTATGACGTAGGAAAGCTGATATCTGACATGGCAAGCAGCCACCTAGGAAATTGCCCAGATTTTATCCAGAACACAATCCAACACGAGTTTTGTATCGTTTAAAATAATACAAAACAGTTACACTATAAAATGAAGCCAACTCTATTATAGACGGTATGTCATAGACAGTTCACGAGGGATGCGACTGAACTGTCACAGCCACGCAAGGACTCAGGATCTGACATCAGATGGCTAGTGGATCGACCTTGGCCCTCGAACCACTCACACAACACCATGACACGGCGGACGATCATCCCCGCTGGCGAGACGCATTTGCGGGAGAATTCCATCCGCTAACGTCGACGGTCTCCAGGCGAACAAACCGGCAGGATGAAAATGAAACGGCCTTTCACATTGGCCCAAAACTTGCCGAGGATATCAATATGACGGCCTTTACAAGTCCGTCCGTCATCGTCTCCGTCAAATTCCTGCGATCTCCTTCATCCCAGAAAACCATCCAGTGCTGCTGCAGTGACACTTGACTTGGAACCATGCACACGCCGTTTCCCGAATGCACAGTGTGGCTACGGTTCAATAAGTTTTGCAGGAATCTAAAGCCAACCATAATACGTTTTTAAACGGTTGGGTATGGTGACTCTCTTCGGTCACTGCAACCTGTTGTGCTTGGTGGAGGGATAAGTGATCCTGCTGAAACCTCCACCATCCAACCAAGCTTTGCACAGAGAAACAAGGGGCTTGCCTTCTGGTCATCTTCAGTCAGAATAAGTTCCTCGTGACCAGCAGCTGCCACCCAGCTCTCGCTCCCTCGATCTCGTAAGCAGTCGGCTTAGGTCATCAGGTGCTAAGAGCCTGATCGCAGCTGCAGCGTCATCTTCCGACAACCTCCACGTTACAATCACAATGGCGACCATCGCAGCTGGAACAGGTACGCACAAGCCTCGCAGTATGCGCATCAGTAATACTTCCGTTCCAAGTTTCGCTTATGCGAAACCCTAGGGTCCGCCTTGGGTAGAGCAGCCCACCAACGCGTAGAAGCTTACATTTGCGTTCTGTCGTGCTCGTGATTCCATTATCGTCCAGCTCTCTCAAGCACTCTCACAGCGGACTTACCCGTTTTAAACACAACCCTTGTTCTTTCGATTGTACCATTCCGTTTGACCATCCGTATCCTGTCCCTCCATTTCCCACTCTCCTTCATGCTGTCCCTCCTAGCCGTCCCCACAGCAGCGCTCACTGCCAGCAGAGCAGCTTCCGCTGCTTCCGCCTCCAGCTTCGCCCGCTCCGTCGTCCCTTCGCCTCTCCCCGCTCCCCTCTCCGCCGCTCCCCGCGCTGGTCGCATCCATCTCCTCCGCTGCCGCGCTGCTGCTGTCGAGGATGGTAAGCGCACGCACAACCGCTCGACCGCATTAATAACCCCTCGACCGCATTAACAACCCCTCGATCGCATTCACAACCTCTCGAACGCATTCAAACTGATGGGAGTCGACCGTTTGAGCCGCCGCTCTTCGCCGTACTACATTTTGGCTGTTCGCTTGTATTGTGCAAGCCTGGTACTGTATTCGATATTTTTGGATGAATATATTATATACTACTAAATATATTTCTGTGTGCGTGTATACAGCTTTTTACTCCTGTCTAGCCTCACGTACTGGTTATTTTTCTTTACTCTAAATCTAATCAGGAGCCGTGAAGGAGGTGGCGGTTGAGGCGGAGGAGCTGAGCAATGGCGCAGCTGTGGCCGCCCCGACTGTAGACGAGGTATGTTCCCACCCACTCCTCGTTCCGTCGCCCTCTCGTTGTCACCTCGTTTCACTCACCCTCTCCTCTCTCCCCTTCCGTGGCGTCGCATTCTCGTTGCATTCCGTCACATCCTCTTGTCATCCGTCACCCGGATCGCGTCTATCCTCGTCAGGCGCAGCGCAGTCGCGGCTGACGGTGCTGTGCCACGAGACTCGGTGCCTGCCTGCAACGAGACTCACGCCATCATGTTTATTCCCCCATGCCCCATGCTCCATGGCCTGCCCTTTCGCCTGCAGGTGCAGTCGCTGCTGATGGAGCTCTGCGACGAGACTCGGGAGGTCCATCGAGTGCACTAGGAGGGAGGTGTTTTCATTTCTTTAAAAATCCTCATTTTTCATGCGCCGTGCCCCATGCTCTATGGCCTGCACTTTCGCCCGCAGGTGCAGTCGCTGCTGATGGAGCTCTGCGACGAGACTCACATCGCCGAGCTTAAGGTCAAGGTACGTACCACCGAAGCAAGCACTCAGGTACGGAAGCACCGAATCAAGCACCTGAGATACGGTAAGGGAGGATCGACGGAAACACTCAGGTAAGCGAAAACCGAAGCAAACAGTTAGATACAAGACGGGAGGACCGAAGCAAGCACAAAAGGTACGAGAGGGCCACAGCTTCGCCCTGCCCGTCCCACTTGATGTGAAGGGTTGAAAGGGCCTGGTAGATTCACATGCGTTGTTGTAATACCGTAGTACCCCGATGTCTGTCTACTCCACTCACCCAAACCGAGTTGACTTTTGAGTCGACTCAAAAGTCAACTCTGGTAGATTCACATGCGTTGTTGTAATACCGTAGTACCCCGATGTCTGTCTACTCCACTCACCCAAACCGAGTTGACTTTTGAGTCGACTCAAAAGTCAACTCTGGTAGATTCACATGCGTTGTTGTAATACCGTAGTACCCCGATGTCTGTCTAGTCCACTCACCCAAACCGCCTGACGCGAGACTTCGATTGGAACATTCAGAATAGTTTTCTCATAATAACCTCTTTCGCTCTCCTCCCTCTCCCTTCCTCTCCTCCCTCTCCCTTCCTCTCCTCCCTCTCCCTTCCTCTCCTCCCTCTCTCACCATTGCCAGGTCGGCTCCTTTTCTCTGCACGTCAAGAGGGACGTGGACGGCAGCATCGGCAGTGCTGTGGCTGCTGCTCTTGCACTAACTTCATTGACTCGTTTTCCTCTGTTCCTTCGCCTCCTCAACTCTCTCCTCTCAACCACACCACTGCCAGGTCGGCGCCTTCTCCCTGCACGTCAAGCGCGACGTGGACAGCAGCATCGGGAATGCCGTGGCTGCAGCTGTTCTCACAGTAACCTCATTGAACCCCCCCTCTCTCTTCCCTCCCGTCCTCTTCCCCCTCGCACCACTGCCAGGTCGGCGCCTTCTCCCTGCACGTCAAGAGGGACGTGGATGGCAGCATCGGGAATGCCGTGGCTGCAGCTGAAGCCTCCGCCGCGGCCGCCGCGGCCCCTGTGGTGTACGCTGCGCCAGTGCCCGCCTTCCCCATGGCGGAGTCCCTCCCTGCGGCTGAGCCTGTGGCGGAGGTGGCTGCTGAGCCTGAGAAGCCCAAGGACGAGGGTCTTGTCTATGTGACGTCGCCGCGGGTAAGAGACGCGTGAACACCTCCTGCCTCTCCATTGTATGGTGTGTTTACCCCTCTCCCCCGCTGCTGCTACCTCTGTTGCTGCCGCGGAGCCTGTGGCGGAGGTGCCTGCTGAGCCAGAAAAGCCCAAGGACGAGGGCCTTGTCTATGTGACGTCACCCCAGGTAAGAGAGGATTAGCGCACCACCCTTTTCTTTCCATACTATGGTCTCTTCCTCTCTCTCTGCTGCTGCCTGCACACCTGCTATCCCATGGCGGAGGTGACTGCTGAGCCTGAGAAGCCCAAGGACGAGGGCCTTGTCTACGTCACGTCGCCACGGGTAAGAGACGGGTGCACTGCCCCTTCTTCCCATCACGTACTCTCAGCTGCTGCCCTGCCTCCGCCTCTGCTGCTGCCGCGGAGCCCGTGGCGGAGGTGGCTGCAGAGCCTGAGAAGCCCAAGGACGAGGGACTTGTCTATGTGACGTCGCCGCGGGTAAGACACGGGTGGAAGCGTACATCAGTCCACCCGTTGTATGGTATCTCTACCCTCCCCGCTACTGCTGCGGCCGCTGAGCCTGTGGCGGAGGTACCTACTGAGCCTGAGAAGCCCAAGGACGAGGGCCTCGTTCATGTCACACATAGATCCCCACTTGGGAGACATGGCTTTGCGTGGCAGCAGCTTAGTTAAAATATATTGTTTTTGACTGTAGTAGGCTTGCCTTGAAATTTTCTACGCAAAGGTTTTTTCAAAGCAAGCCTTCTACTACAAACAATATTTTTAACTAGGTTGCTGCTGCGCAAAGTCATGTCTCCCAAGTGGGGATCTATTGGACCTGAGAAGCCCAAGAACGAGAGCCTCGTTTATGTCACACGTCACCGCAGGTAACTTCTTTTCTGCAATTGATCCTCTTTCGCCCTCACACCCCTGCCCACCCGCCCCCCTACCCGTCCCACACCCTTCCCCCACCCCACCCTTCCCTGCTCCTCATTTCCATCCTCCTCCCCTCCCTCCTTCGCACCATTCCCCCCATCCTTCACCGCACTGCACCCATCCTGACACTCTTCTGCGCACCCTCATCCCCACCCTCCTTCGCACCCTTTTCTGTACCCTTTCCCCCCCTTTCCTCTCCCCCCCACTCCCCGGCCCTCGTCCTCTCCCCCTGCCAGGTGGGCATCATGCGACGTGGCAAGCTGTACAAGGGCAAACACGGCCGGCCAATTGTGCTCGAGGTACAGTGCGGTGCAATATGGTGCAGTACACTGGAATGTGGTACTCTAGAGCAGGGTAGCACATGCATGGCAAGGAGTTGCAAGCTGTGCAATGACAAGCACGGCCGGCCAATATGCTCAAAGAACAGTGCGGTGCCGTGCAGTACTCGGTTGTTTGGTTGTTTGCGAAAGGTACTCTCTGGTATGTGGTGTTCTTTAGTGGAGCTATCTCACAAGCACTTGCACAAAAATATAATAGGAAAATAAGAGGTGCACATGCACCTTACCTCCCCCTCACCCCACCCTTTCCCACCCGCTCGTTCCCATCATCCACTTCCTAATTTTCGCCCTTCCCATCAACAGGGTGCAGTGGTGAAGAAGGGGCAGGCCATGTGCTTCCTGGAGCAGCTTGGAGCAATCCTGTATCTTTCCCCCTTACCACGTCCCCTCCCCCCTCCTCCCCCCTCTTCCCCTCACGCCACCCTTCACCTCTCCCCCCTCACTTGTACAAATAGGGTGCAGTGGTGAAGAAGGGGCAAGCCATGTGCTTCCTGGAGCAGCTGGGAACCAACCTGACGATTGAGGTGGGTGGGAGGTTGGAAAATATAGGGTGTGGAGCAGGGCGATAGGGGTGAAGGGTGTGGGGCAGGGCGATAAGGTTGAAGAGGGGATGCAGGGCAAGGCAGAGACTGCTAAGGAGTTGCAGGAAGTGACAAGAAACGGCAGGGATTGGTAGGGCGTTGTAGGGAGTGGTGGAGAGTAGTAAAAGATAATGTGTGTATGTTACAGAGATACTGGTTGACTTGAATGCAGCTCGAAGGAATCACTTTTTTCTTTTTCTTTTCTTTTTTTCGGGGAGTTTCCCTAGACAAGGAACTGAGTCGAACTGTTCCCATTCTTCCGGTGATCATAATCTCTCCTTTCTTCCCTGCCCCTTTCTTCCCTGCCCCTTTCTTCCCTGCCCCTTTCTTCCCTGCCCCTTTCTTCCCTGCCCCTTTCTTCCCTGCCCCTTTCTTCCCTGCCCCTTTCTTCCCTGCCCCTTTCTTCCCTGCCCCTTTCTTCCCTGCCCCTTTCTTCCCTGCCCCTTTCTTCCCTGCCCCTTTCTTCCCTGCCCCTTTCTTCCCTGCCCCTTTCTTCCCTGCCCCTTTCTTCCCTGCCCCTTTCTTCCCTGCCCCTAAACCGCGTGAACTGAGACGATTTTTTAGGCGCCTCAAAAATCGTCTCAGTTTTGAGGCGCCTAAAAAATTCTTCCGGTGATCATAATCTCTCCTTTCGTCCCTGCCCCTTTCTCTGGTGCTCTCTTCCCGCTGTTGTTCCTGTTGTTGCTGCCTCTTGCTCTTTTGTCGCTGTTTTGCTGCTAAGTTTCTTAACAATGCCGTTGCTGTTTTGTTTCTGCGCAGACGGAGCATGCGGGCACAGTGGTAGATTTCCTGGTGGAGGATGGAGGTGTGTTCTGGGTGCTCTGAGCTATTAGTTCAAGGGAAAGAAGGGGGGAGGGGGGGGGAGGCTGTAAATCTTGAGTCAACTTAAAAGTAGGCTGTACAGGCGGAGCATGCTGGCACAGTGGTAGATTTCCTGGTGGAGGATGGAGGTACGTTCTGGGTGCTCTGTGCTATACGTTCTATGTGCCATGCCATGCCATGCCATGCCATGCCATGCCATGCCATGCCATGCCATGCCATGCCATGCCATGCCATGCCCTGCCCTGCCCTGCCCTGCCCTGCCCTGCCCTGCCCTGCCCTGCCCTGCCCTGCCCTGCCCTGCCCTGCCCTGCCCTGCCCTGCCCTGCCCTGCCCTGCCCTGCCCTGCCCATTACCAACACTTATGGTTGATCTCCCTATTCTTGGGTCTTTCTCTGATAATCTGTTTAGGTGTTGAAATCCATGTGCTAATTGGTCCCGCATCCTTTTTCCTAGCTTGTTAAGTCTACCCATATTACTATCCTCCCCTTCCGCCGGCACCCCATGTCCCACCTTCAGTCCCAAAGCGGTATGTTCAGCCCCTGGCGGCCATCTGCCTGCCTTTCCCCTTATTCTCTCCTCCATTTCATCCCCCCCCTATTCCCATCTTTCACTTCCCCCTTTCCTCCACCCCCATGTCCCACCAACAGTCCCTGTGGGGTGTGGTGAACCCCTGGCAGCCATCTGCCTGTCGTTTCTCCCTCCTCGCTCCTCCAACTCCTCTCACCTCATCTCCTTTCCTCCTTCCCCCTTTCCTCCAACCCCCATGTCCCACCAACAGTCCCCGTGGGCTACGGTGAGCCCCTGGCAGCCATTCACCCATCGTTCCCCAGCATCTTGAAGCTCATCTGAACTCCCTCCTCCATTTCCCCGCTTCTCCTCCTGTCCTCCCCATGTCCCACCAACAGTCCCTGTGGGCTACGGTGAGCCCCTGGCGGCCATTCGCCCATCTTTCCCCGGCATCATGAAGCTCACCTGAGTGGGGAGCACAACCATAAGTTTTGATGCGCACTCGAGAGTGCGCAGTAAAGTCAAGACTCTTACATTATGTTACAGTCACAACAAAATGAAAACTTATGGCTATGACCATGGGTCCCAGCTCAGCCTGACGTTTTTAAGAGACTGCATGCCAGGCCTAGGGTCCGTCTGTAGTTGTTTTTTCCTAGCCAATATGGGTGTCATCATTTTGTAAGCCCAGAATGGCCAGAATTGTTTACATGCGGTGTTTTTTTGTAGTTTTAGGTGCTCTGCTTGGTCTCATTTGGCAGCATTACACAAGCAAGCAAGCATGCAACATACATTGGTAGGCTATTACAAGCAATAATGATAACACAAGTGTTGATTGACACTCTCAAGCTGAGCTTTACACTGCTCAACACCAGGTGCACTCCACAACGCTGCTGTGTACTAGCAGCACCCAGCCCAATGGTTGCAATCGAAGAAGAATTTGTTAGAGACGAAGTGAGAGGAGGGATAAGGTGGCCTGCAGTGCGAACTAGCGCTTTCTGAGTTTAGGGTTGGGCTTGAGGAGCTGCTTGACGCCATCTGCAGGGGAAATGTCCCACCGTTCCACGTGCCTGGTGAGAGGGTGAGGGAGGGTGAGAGGGCGAGGGAGGGTGAGAGAAGGGTATGGGATGGGTGGGATGGGTGTCCATTCAGCAGCTGCTTGACGCCATCTGCAGGGGAAATGTCCCACCGCTCCACGTGCCTGGTGAGAGGGTGAGAGGAGGGGGCATGGTGGAATGGACAGTGAGCATACACTTTTTGGCTTGAGGAGATGCTTGACGCCATCTGCAGGGGAAATGTCCCACCGCTCCACATGCCTGGTGAGAGGAGAGGTGGAGTGGAGATGTACCGTACAAGGGACGAGATAATGGATTGGACAGGCGGAGATGGATATCTTACGCGAGAAGGAGGGACTGTGTGACTTTTGAATCGCCTCAAAAGTCACCTTTTGATTCGACTCGAGAGGAGAGGTGGAGATATACATGGGACGAGACGAGATCATGGATTGGACAGGCGGAGATGGACATCTTACGTGAGTAATGAGTCATGTTTTGAGTCGACTCACAACACGATTGGATCGGGGATGGACATCTTACTGGAGAAGGAGGAACTGTGTTATGGTGACTGCACGTCAAGGCAATGGCAAGTCTGCAAGCCAGCTTCCAAGTTGGAAATTACATAAGAATAGAAATACGCCGGTTGAGTGTTTCTTGCTTACTTGTATATTTTTCCTGTCGATTCGTTGAAGAAATGGTCTGTCGACCCGGATGCTGTGTAGGGAGGAAGAGGAAGGAGAGCGGGGGGGGGGGGACAGGTAGAGAGGATAGTGAGCGGATTGCGGATGACAGGGATGGGCAGACAGACACACAAGAGGAGCATTTAGGAGGGAGTCATAAGCACTAGAAAGCGTGTGAAGAGTGTGAATGTGCAATGCCACCCATCAAAACTAAGATGGGAAGGAGAGGGATTACCAGCAAGAATGGGGCGCCATGGCAGGCCGAGTACGCAGCTGAATCTCCACTTGGTGGTAACCGTGCCCTGTGGTTACATTGACACAATTGTTACATTGGGGAATGCAATATAGAAGTGAACAGGAAATGAAGGAATATGTGAGTCGGATGGAGGAATAGAGTAATCAGAGGGAGCATTCAGGCAGTGTAGTCAGATTTCAATACCTCTGACTCCTGCCAGTCGAGAATCTTCAGAGAAACTTCCTCCATGAACGACCCGAGGTTGGACACGTTCTGCTTGAATCGATCTCGGCCGTTGAACGACACAAAGGGATCGGCGAACTCGCAATCTGGCTCGTACAGCCACATGGTCATCTCGCCTGGGAGGAAAACACGGGCAAGTAGGCAAGGCAGGCGAGGGGAGCGGAGGGGAAGAAGATAGGGGGTGGGGGGGAGGTGGAGGTGAGAAGGAGATATGGAATGCAAGTGACTTGTGAAAACAAAACAAGATACGCAAAGAATTCACATGAGCCGTCCCTCCAATCGCCATCTGCCACGTGGCGTCCCACCAATCCCCATCTGCCACGTGCCATCCCACCAATCACCTGTCACAAAGTAAGACTTGTCATAGTCTTCCCTCAGCGCTTTAATCGCCGCGTCGCGCTCAACCACCGCGGGCTCCCCTTCTGCCGTTGCGCCCTTCCCCTTTCCGCCTTCCGCCTCCCCCCCGCGCACCGTCGCCACCGCCTTCCCGAACGCCTCTGACGCATACCACGCGAAGCGCACCAGTGGGGAGGTTTCCGCCGTCGGCCCCGCGCGCTCCTCACGCTTCCCCCCTGCGCTCTTCCCCGCGCCTTCCGGTCCCCCCCCGGACGCGCGGATGACGCCCCGCCGCCCGCCTGACAGCCTCGGCGTCGCTGTGCCGCAAATTGCTGCGGAAAACCCGCCGGAGAATGCGGCTTTGCTAGTTAGAAACGAGGCTCGGGTCGCCAGTCCGTCGAACACGTTGGCTTGCGGTCCTAGTAAGAGAGCGCGCGAGGTGGTTCTAGGAGGCGTGAAATGAATTCGTGAGGAATGTCTTATTGAATCCATTGGGAATGCGTTGCCAGGGTACGTAGCCGCGAAGCGACCGACGGCGACGCCTGTTGCCGCCATACCGACTGGCTGGGTTGCGAAGATTGACAGCTAGGGATGACGGAGATAAAAAAGTGCAGAATTTTGAGCGTGGAAACTAGCGGGAACCACGCGGCATAGCTGACGGAATGTGGGAAAGCAAGGGAGTGATGCTAGGAGGGGTATTGAGGGCGTGTCCAGCGCGTACATTTACAGTTCATAAACCCATTCAGTTACCAAATTTCCTATTGTAACACTGCATTTTACAAAAAGGTTGGACACGATCAGCTTCCGTTCACAAGACGGCACGCCCGCTGCGCGTACGACGAATCGTCTAACACACGTTACTGGAATCAGTGTGCGCGCGAACAAGGGTACAGCATTGCGTCCTGCCCGCTACAGTAATTTTCGTTCAAGCGTGGAATTTTCGCTTGTGCGTGAATTTCTGTGCGATGATAGACGAGGCAACCAGTTACCTCGTTTTCCACGAACTGTAGAAATTTGTGTGCAGAGGGTTGTGTCCGCGCGCTGGAAGGCCCAATCCTTCGGACTCGACACACCTTAAATTCGTTTTTTGGTACAGTGAGATTTTTTGAGCCGGGAAACGTGTGAAGGTACTAATATTCCCAAAATGTACGCGCTGGACACGCCCTGAGTGACCAACAGTGTGCCAAATTCGTGAGACACTGTAGTAACATGCCATGATTTTACATAATACAGTTCTACAGTTGCGGGGAGAACTAGGGATACAGGAATCTTGTTATTATTACTAAAACATTGTCACGCGCCCAAGGCACAAAAAATGACTAGATTATCAGGGTAATCCTTCATGGTCTAGTGCGGTAAGACAGCTGAGCTCCACCTTTCAACATTTCGTAGAATCGATTCATTGATACACCACTCTGCGTCTCAGCCGCGACCGCAGCTCAGCATTCTCCTGCAAAATTAGGGAACAGAGGCAACAAATGCGTCAGCAGTATTCCTTGTACGGTATTGCCATCAACCCCCAGTAACCAATGGAGATAGAAGGGTTTCATACAAAAAAAAACATGTACCGGTACATTTGCATCACACGTAGAATTACCCACCTTTGTTAGAACCGCAATCGTAGACTCCAATGCCTCATTCTCCGTAATCAGTGCTGCTTCTCTCCCTTCCAACCCCTGCGAGTGTGAAGAAAGTAAGAATTATTAGCTACCACCATTTACCACACACCACAAGTCAAAGCCCAACATGCACCATGTTTGAATGAAACAATGAGAGCCAGAAAGAAGATTGCAAACTCATCTCTAGTGCAGGCAGGTTCAAAAGACAGCAACAAGTGCTTACATTGATGTAGTACTTTTTCTTCTCCCTAGCTTGTTGAGCACTGACTCTGTTGCGAAGCAACCTGTAACGCGTGTAATCAGATGGACCAATCATCGCAGTCACATCCCCCAACCATAGCCACAGGCACGCAGCAAGAAAACCCTAAAAGTTAGTTGAATACGCCACTTAGGTTGGAAGGGCGACCTTAGGAATCAGGAACGAAATAGACGTTCTACGTTCTAAGAATGCGAAGAGGAAGTATAGAACAAGCGGTGGGTAAGTTATCGACTAAGCACTCAAAAGCTACGGGCCAGCATTCCAGACACTCATAATAAGCTCTCAACCCTGTCGGGTAATAAGCTTCATTATGTTTCGGGTTGACTAGAGAAACCACACACACACACCTTCTTCGCTTCGGATCGACTGTCGGCGGAATACTCGCAGCAGCGGAAGGCACGGCGGAAGGCACAGCGGAAGGAACGGCGAGGGATGAAACCGCAGCAGGCATTCGCGGAACAGGCGGGAATAAGGCCGCGGGAGTCGCATCGTCTCGGTTTCCGGGTAACGAAGGATGAATGGCGAAACGGCATGGGCCGTCGAGGTCGGGAGCGAGAGAGAGCGATGGATGGCCGGGCGCAGCTGGAAATGCAGAAGCGATTTCCAAGGAAGCGGCAGGTCGTAACGGAACGGACGGTGACGACGGAACCAGTAGGTCAGCGGGAGACGCGGCGCGGTCAGCGCGCGACGGGACGACAGCACACGGCTCGTTCGCCGCGACAGCGGCGGCGAAATCGGGATGATCCTCGAATTCCAAACCTCCGCCGAGCGAGTTCGGGTCCGCGATAATGTCTCCTCCCTTTCTCTTCCCCGTCGCCTTCGCGTGTGCGACACCCGGCGACTTCACGTTTCGCCCTGCGACCGATTGCGAGCTTCGCCCTGCGATAGATTGCGCGCCGATTCTCCCTGCGAGCGCCTCCCTCGTCGCCGCCACTCGCGCTTGCCTCGCCATCGCTGCGGCTTCCGCGTGCCGCTGCTTGTACAGATGATGACTGTAGAGAGGATGATGAGATGGATGATGTTGGTAGTACGCCGCGTGATACGGGCTCGCCATTGGAGGATAGTCAGCCGCCGGATGCGGGTAGTATTCCGAGTAGTACGCGCCATCGTGCGTCACGTGCGGCGCTTGATCAGAAATCGCAGTGGGTTCCAGAGATAATTGCAAGTCAGAATTTCGGACATCGGTAGTCGCCATGGCCGCGGAGTCAAGCTTTGGTTTGAACTCAAGATCAGGGAATCCCCAGGAAAGCTCGTCGAACAAATGATCGCCACCGCTGCCGCCGCTGCCGCTGCCGAACCCAGCGTTATCGCCTCCCGCGGGCTCATCAGCACCGTCAATCTCGACATCTACCGGACTGTCGTTGAAAAAGGGCGTGGGGATGTGACCCATACTGTCGCGATCAGATCGGCCGGTACGACGAAGTCTCTTTGTGGGCGCGGATGCCGCGGCGCCATGGCGAGCTGGGTGGCGAGTTGAATGATGTCGAGCGGGCTGCGGAAAGGGGAAAGCGTACCGTGGATGCCCCGCTGGGTGCGCCCCTGCATGCGACGTTCCGTGCGCCGCTGCGTGCGCGGACGCGTGCGGAGTCATGTGCGGCGGAAGCTGCATGTGCATGGGCGCGCCGTACATCGGGGGAAACGGCGCGCCAAAGTGATACGACGCCTGGCCGCCATAGTCTGCGGAGGAGAAAGGAAAGAAAGAAAGGACGGAAGAATGAAAGACAGAAACTAAGCACGAAAAACGACATTTCAGGTACGAGTCAAGCAGAATACGATGATCACGTCGCGGTGGATCACACAAGACGTAGTCAAGGTCGCACAGAGCGTGACGCTAACGGAAGATCAAACTCTCTTGGATGCAACATACTTTAAGAGAAATAATAGCATGATAAATAGGTGGGGATCCGATTTAGGAACACGCACTTGCGAAAGGATAGTGTCCCGTTAGATACGACGGGATCCCCTGAGTCATGCCGGGGAAGGCGGCTTCGGACGATGACTCGCACACGCTCATGTCGCGGATGTTCTCTCCTTGGGACGGTATGAGCGGAGTGGAACAGTAGGAGTAGATAAAGGTTAACACTACGATCGACCGTAATACTGTATCTAGAATGCTTAGTGAGAAGTTCGACGGGTGATGAGCGCTAGCATGAAGAGACAGAGGGGGTTCAGGGTAAGTGCCCAGTCTCTCGTACGATTCACTAATCAAGACCCAACAATGGTCTAAACTGTGAAACAGTAGGAGCGGAGGAAGAGGAATGGGAGGAATGAGGGAAAGGGATGTGATGTGTGGGTGGGACTAGTGCGGCGGTGTTCGCACCAGCAGGAATCTCTCGTCAATCCTCGGCTTTGCCTGCCATTCGCCCCAAGCAGTCTGCCTCCCATCCCACCAATCTGTGGTGTTACGACGACCCTCCTCCTCCCTTCCCTTCCCCATCACTGCTTTCCCCATCTCTCCCCTCCCACTTCCTCTCCTCCACCAGTCACACGAAGCCTCACCTCACCTGCCTTCTCTCACCCACCCCACCCCACTACACCATCCATGGGCAAGGCTCACAAAGCTCCCCACCACCACTCCCCACCACACCACACCACCGAGTGACCAAGAGAAGAGAGTCCACCAAATGAAACCTTCGTGTGAATGGGGGCCTGTGGTGCATACACCTAGTCCGCGGTATTTTAACCGCCGCTATCTTAACCGCGCGAGGGTACTTCTCATTGGTCAAACTTGTTTAAACGAGTAGTTTGAAAATTAATGAGGGTAGAATCTAGCATTCCTCTCGCGAGATAGGCAGTTAAAACTCTGCCAATGCCGATATGCCCCCTATCTCGAACCACTAAGTGTGCGTTTCTTCAGACGGAAAGGCATCTGTAAAATAATAACCTTGAAGTCTTTGGGTGCCCATCTCATTACCCGAAAACGAATAATGGGTGTTTGAAACAAAACAATTCACGTGGTTAAAATACCGCGGACTAGGTGTCGTGGATGTATTTCCAGGACGACTGTGTGCACCAGATCCCACATCCAAACGTCAATCTGTCTGGAGCCAACCACTGCTCAATCTATAAGGGTAAAGCCTACGAAGCAAAGTAAATTCGGACGACTTATCCAGCCATATCCTTGGGCAAACACAATCGTCCCTTGGTTGCCTGTGCATTCACTCTGTAAGCTGAGAATTCTGCGTTGCCTGAAGCTGGAAAACTTCCACTAAAAGGCGAAGAGAGGCGGCTCAATTACTGGCGCTTTTGCCGGGTCAACCAGTTTGACTGGAAGGATAGTACACAGAAACGTTAATTCTACAGAAACGGGGTTTTGGAAGTCCCGTTTACGGGGGGGTGTATGGTCCATCCGCCCATGAGATTCGTTGGGTTCAGCGAGAGCCAACCAGTCCGTGGCGCATAATGCCAGATATTACAGCCAGCTTGCGATTCTGTGCACAGCACGGCGTATCCTCTACTGAAATCAATGTCATTTTCTGAAGGGCTTGAGTGGACAAGAGTTGTCCACGGCGCGCCACCAGTCACCGATCAACATTTGTCAACGATTTGGCTGTAAGCTGTAAATTGCAATTGATAATTGGAAACTACTTCATAAATGCCGGCTTCGCACTTCTACAAGGATATTACTGGCTACGGCATAATAATCACAGTCGATTTGAGCTTGTACTAGCTAGGAGTATAATGCCTTTGTTCTGCACTTATGTTCTGTCTTATGAATAAATCAAATTCAAGCACCTTATACTCCATGCTAACATAGAAGAATCACGATATATGTACCTTCTCATCTATCGTGCCTTGCGTAAAATTTCCTGCAAAATATCACTATAGTATGTGGCGGTTCCTTGCTAACAGTAGGGGCAACATGAGCTATGCCTTCCAACTGCTCCGCCTTCACACCATCGATTTCCGTCTTTGAGCAGCAGACTCCAAATACAAGGATACACCTGGCAGCCTTGCTTCGTCATTCGAATCCCCTTTTCTCTTCCTAATCAGCTGCAAGTGCAAAAGGGACGAATGTGTGATTTTGAAGGTAGAATGCAAGTTGTACAATTGAACCAATCCGTCGAAAAGAAACAAATGCAAAATCAAGATTTACGGAAAAGGTCGGACGCATTCGCACCTTGGAAGCCCAATGCCGCTCTGTTTGCTCACAAACATCGCGGATATCTCTCCCAGACATGCTGCAAGCACGCGAAGAAAAGCAGGGAGGGGAGAGAGAAAAAAGCTGACATCGATTTTACAAAATTCAGCAGCATCCTTATAAACTGCCAACACTTTCGTCCTTGCAGGTGATTTGAAACACACAGCAAAATGCTGACAGGTTAAAGGAAACACTCAGACTGCCTCACTCGTTTGCCGAAATCTCTCACCTCTGCTCTGAAATGACTACGATGGCGCATCATAAAAACAAGTCATTCACCTGTCGTGTGCCCGTGCAAGGACCTCTCCGTCCTCTGGTGTGCCGTGGCGGGTGTGTAAAGCAATGAGGCGAGGTGCTCAAAAGAAAAGAACGTACACTTACTTGTCGCATGCTCGCGCAAGTCATACTGAGCAATGATCCGCACGCGGGTGTGAGCATCTAGAAAGATATTATGGAAAGTGCTTAAACTAGCAGAGAACTCATGCACTCACGTGTCGCATATATTGGTGCGATTTTTTAGAGTTCTCAAAAGTCGCAACGAAAGTGCCTAAAGAAACTAACAAAGGACTCATGCACTCACTTGATGCATGCCTGGGCACTCACTTGTTGCATGCATGTGAAAGGGATTCTATATCCTCCGGAGTGAGGTGGCGTGCGTATTGAGCGATGATCAGTGCACGGGTGTGTGCATCCGGGAGGGAGAATGTAATGGCTGCATCAAAACGACTGCCACACATGGGTGGGGCATAAAGAAGGCATGAAGGGGAAATAGATTATGGCAGTAAAATTTGTGATGAGGGCGTGTGTGAGTGTGTGCATCCGGGGGGGAGAATGTAATGGCTGCATTAAAACGACAGACACACATGCGTGTGGGGGCACAAGTGAGGCACGGTTGAGTCTTAAGGGAGGCATGGCATGTAAGTGGCGATATAAAAAAGTGGGGCAGTGGAACTGTGATGAGAGCGTGAGAGCGTGCGTCCCGGAGGAAGCTTAAAAGAGACGTGGAACGACCGGCTAGAGCCGCGAGAAAGTTTACACACACACACATATTTCTACACACGAGGCGCCTTTAGGTTCCTCATTTTGTTTCCGAGGCACGGCGCCTAATTAGTCATGCAACGTGAAAACAATCACCACCTGATGAGAGCCGGATCCAGGTCCTCCTTTCTGTTAGTTGCAGCTATGACCACAATGCCCTGGTCCCGCTCAAACCCATCCATCTGCACACAGCAAGGGAGTCGGTGGGGAGGCAAGACAAGGTTGGCTGGCAGGCAATGTGAAGGGTATCACCGAATGCCACGATCCCGCTCAAACCATCCATCTGCACGCAGCAAGGGGAATGGAGCAAGGGGTGTGTAGCAGCTGAGAGATAATACACATCGTCTCAGCAGCACAAAGAGGTCATGTTGCTGTGATTTCCCCCCTTCAATCCCATGTCTCCCTTAGATTGCAGAACGGGAGGGAAAGGGAAAGGCAGGTGCGCAAGAGGGCAACGACGGTGGTGTGTATGTGAAGAACCTCACCAATCAGCCGGTCAAATACTTTGCTGACGTCATGAAGCTTATCCAAGACGTGGATTTACACGCATCTGTTAAAAAAAGGTAGCCTGCCAACCCACGTCTTGGATAAGCTTCATGACGTCAGCAGCAGCAATTGACCGGCTGATCGGTGAGGTCTTCACATACACACCACCGTCAGTGCCCTCTTGCGCACATGCCTTTCCCTTTCCCTCCCGTTCTGCAATCTGAGAAAGAAAAGTGAGGGAGACACGGGAGGGAAGGGGAAAGGCCAGGCAGGTGTGCAAGACAAGAAAAGTTGCTAGGCAAAACAAAACAAACGTTGTAAGCAGACACACGCAAAGGAAAAGCGCTAGGGGATAAACAGGAAAGTTAGAAGAAACCTAGTGACACTTCATTCTGTTGCTTCTACCGGTAACTTTGAAATACAGCTGGAGGGGGTGATTACGGTACAATCAATGGCTTCAAGGAGAGCAGCTAATAGAGCGCAGCGAAGCAACTTCTTGAATGTGAAGAAACCTTTCCTCCAATACACTCGAATGTGTACCCCTGCTTTAAATACCATGCGAAACATTTGAGATCACTCGTGGAAAACCACATATGTGACTTGAGTTGCCCCAAGAAGCACACCTCTCTGAGCAGCACTGAGAGGACTCGCCGCGTGGCTTCATGCATGTCGCTGTCCCTCGCTGTTGCCAGTGGTGTCATGGATGGCACTTGGAATCACCAAGACATTTGAAACCACCCATGTGACTTAAGCTGCCCCAAGAAACACACCTCTCTGAGCAGCACTGAGAGGACCCGCCGCGTCGCTTCATGCATGTCGCTGTCCCTCGCTGTTGCCAGTGCATCCACCTGCCACGTGCATGATCAAGTGATGAAGTCATGTAATGGGATAGAGTCGAGGTTTGGTTGAGACGCATCATGCCATGTGTGGCTGGCTTCATGCATGTCGCTGTCCCTCGTTGTTGCCATTGCATCCACCTGCGACGTGAAGTGATGGGAGGTATGGCGGAATCGGGTGAAGATGGAATCGAGTGAGGATGGAATCGAGTGAGGATGGAATCGAGTGAGGATACCACCAGGGACAACGATCCAATTGAGTGTAACACGCAGCGCACCACTTGCCTGAACCCGGGCCGTAACCGCAAACCTGGAGAGCAAGCTTTTTGTGAGTTGTGGAAGAAGGTTGTAAGTACGACCCGGGTTCAGGCAAGTGATGCGCTTTGTGTTACACTGAATTGGATCGTTGTCCCTAGTGGCATCCTCAGAGTGAGTTGGATAGTCCCTGTCACCATGTCATCCACCCCCCCCATCCCCACCAGGCAAATCCCGAAACCTCTTCGATTTGCTCTCCTCTTCCATGGCAACACCCGCGTGTGCATCCTTGCACTTGCCTGCACTTTCTCCTTCCTTCACCTCCCCTTCCACCCCCTCCTCCTCTGCTGCCCCCTCTCCTTCATCGAGTGATCTGATTGGCCAACCCTCTTATCAGCCACCTTCTCTCTCCTCTTCTCCCCTTCCCCCACTCAACATCTCCCCCCCAAACTCACCCACCTCATCGAGGAACACAATGGCGCCACCTGGGTGCAGCTGATTGGCCAGCACAAACACAGTCGACAGCTGGCGCTCGCTCTCCCCATAGTACTTGGATGCTACAGACTCGAGAGGCACATACACCAGGGGCACGCTCTGAAGGAGGGTGGGGGTTTGCAAGGGAGCACGTTCGAGGGATGGTGCTGTTTAGAATGCGCAAACACGGTTGACAGCTGGTGCTCACTCTCCCCGTAGTACTTGGATGGCACGGACTCCAGGGGTACGTACACCAGTGGCACGCTCTGATGTGAGATGGGGGTGCGGGCGGAGGTGGGGAGGATGGAAGGAGAGTGGGACGAGAACACTCTTTAAGTATGACAGCTGGCGCTCACTCTCCCCATAGTACTTGGACGCTACAGTTTCCAGAGGCACGCTCTGATGGGGGTATTTTTGAGTCGACTCAAAAAAGTGGGGGAGAGGACAGATATGACAGCTGGTGCTCGCTCTCCCCTTAGTACTAGGATGCTAGATTCTTCTAGAGGCACGTACACTGGAGGCATGCTCTGATGGGAGAAGAAGGGGGAGAGGAGGGAACGGGGGTAGGGTGAGCTCATGACTACACCAAGGACAGCAGATAGGGCCACAAGGTCGACAGTTGGTGCTTGCTCCTCTCCCCGTACTACTAGGATGATAGATTCCTCTAGAGGCACGTACACCAAGGCATGGTGCGGTATGGCATGGCAGATGGAATAGAATGGCAGATGGAATAGCATGGCAGATGGCATGGCATGGCATGGCATATGGCATGGCATATGGCATGGCATTTGGCATGGCATGGCATGGCATGGCACTCACCGCTCGTTTGGCCATGGCTCGTGCACATGACGTCTTCCCAGTGCCTGGTAGGGGCGATGGGCGAGAGAGGAACGGATGGAACAAAGAAGTATGACCCTTAATTCGACTCAAAAGTCACCACGTTTGGCCATGGCTCGAGCACATGACGTCTTCTCAGTGCCTGGTAGGGGCGACGGGCGAGAGGAACAGATGGAAAGAAGAGAGAGTGAGGAGGGGGGAGGAAAGGAGGCGAGAGGAGAGGAGGGGAGAGGAGCGGAGAAAAGAATGTTCAGAGGAGATCTCCTTGGAAGCCGTAAAAGCCATTCAGCCCACAGGAGTGGAGTGGAGGTCCCGTGCGTGGCCCTGGCAATGCTGCTACCACCACCTCAAGGCACCACGAGTCACCACAGTTCACCGCAGGGCACCTGAAAGCTCTTACAGCCTCACAGCCTCACCTGGCAGCCCGTCAAAGAGCACAGCGTGCGGATGGTTGGACTCACAGTGGGTGCGCGTGGCCCTAGCAATGCCACTAGCACCGCAAGTTACCTGAACCCCAAACCCCCCACTCCCTCACAGCCTCACAGGCTCACCTGGCAGCCCGTCAAAGAGCACGGCTCGCGGGCGGTTGGACTCACAGTGGGTGCGCGTGGCCCTGATGTGAGATGCGCCACTAGGCACGCACTAGCACCGCAGGCACCCAGAAGCTCCTCCACCACCCACTCCCTTTGAGGAGCCTCAAAAGCCGTCCCCAGATGTGAGATGCGCCACAAGGCACGCACTAGCATTACACGCACTAGCATTACACACACTAGCATCACACGCACTAGCATCACACGCACTAGCATCACACGCACTAGCATTACACGCACTAGCATCACACGCACTAGCATCACACGCACTAGCATTACACGCACTAGCATTACACGCACTAGCATCACACGCACTAGCATCACACGCACTAGCATTACACAAACTAGCATTACACGCACTAGCATCACACGCACTAGCATCACACGCACTAGCATCACACGCACTAGCATTACACGCACTAGCATTACACGCACTAGCATTACACGCACTAGCATCACACGCACTAGCATTACACGCACTAGCTACACGCACTAGCATTACACGCACTAGCATCACACGCACTAGCATTACACGCACTAGCATTACACGCACTAGCATTACACGCACTAGCATTACACGCACTAGCATTACACGCACTAGCATTACACGCACTAGCATTACACGCACTAGCATTACACGCACTAGCATTACACGCACTAGCATTACACGCACTAGCATTACACGCACTAGCATTACACGCACTAGCATCACACGCACTAGCATCACACGCACTAGCATCACACGCACTAGCATCACACGCACTAGCATCACACGCACTAGCATCACACGCACTAGCATCACACGCACTAGCATCACACGCACTAGCATTACACGCACTAGCATTACACGCACTAGCATTACACGCACTAGCATTACACGCACTAGCATTACACGCACTAGCATTACACGCACTAGCATTACACGCACTAGCATCACACGCACTAGCATCACACGCACTAGCATCACACGCACTAGCATCACACGCACTAGCATCACACGCACTAGCATCACACGCACTAGCATTACACGCACTAGCATTACACGCACTAGCATTACACGCACTAACATTACACGCACTAGCATTACACGCACTAGCATTACACGCACTAGCATTACACGCACTAGCATTACACGCACTAGCATCACACGCACTAGCATCACACGCACTAGCATCACACGCACTAGCATCACACGCACTAGCATCACACGCACTAGCATTACGCGTACTAGCATTACACGCACTAGCATTACACGCACTAGCATTACACGCACTAGCATTACACGCACTAGCATTACACGCACTAGCATTACACGCACTAGCATTACACGCACTAGCATTACACGCACTAGCATCACACGCATTAGCATCACACGCACTAGCATCACACGCACTAGCATCACACGCACTAGCATCACACGCACTAGCATTACACGCACTAGCATTACACGCACTAGCATCACACGCACTAGCATTACACGCACTAGCATCACGCGCACTAGCATTACGCGCACTAGCATTACGCGCACTAGCATTACCCGCACTAGCATTACACGCACTAGCATTACACGCACTAGCATTACACGCACTAGCATCACACGCACTAGCATCACACGCACTAGCATCACACGCACTAGCATCACACGCACTAGCACTACACGCACTAGCACTACACGCACTAGCATTACACGCACTAGCATTACACGCACTAGCATTACACGCACTAGCATTACACGCACTAGCATTACACGCACTAGCATTACACGCACTAGCATTACACGCACTAGCATTACACGCACTAGCATCACACGCACTAGCATTACACGCACTAGCATCACACGCACTAGCATCACACGCACTAGCATCACACGCACTAGCATCACACGCACTAGCATCACACGCACTAGCATTACACGCACTAGCATTACACGCACTAGCATTACACGCACTAGCATCACACGCACTAGCATCACACGCACTAGCATCACACGCACTAGCATTACACGCACTAGCATCACACGCACTAGCATCACACGCACTAGCATCACATGCACTAGCATTACACGCACTAGCATTACACGCACTAGCATTACACGCACTAGCATCACACGCACTAGCATCACACGCACTAGCATCACACGCACTAGCATCACACGCACTAGCATCACACGCACTAGCATCACACGCACTAGCATTACACGCACTAGCATTACACGCACTAGCATTACACGCACTAGCATTACACGCACTAGCATTACACGCACTAGCATTACACGCACTAGCATTACACGCACTAGCATTACACGCACTAGCATTACACGCACTAGCATCACACGCACTAGCATCACACGCACTAGCATCACACGCACTAGCATCACACGCACTAGCATCACACGCACTAGCATTACACGCACTAGCATTACACGCACTAACATTACACGCACTAGCATTACACGCACTAGCATTACACGCACTAGCATCACACGCACTAGCATCACACGCACTAGCATCACACGCACTAGCATCACACGCACTAGCATCACACGCACTAGCATCACACGCACTAGCATCACACGCACTAGCATCACACGCACTAGCATCACACGCACTAGCATCACACGCACTAGCATCACACGCACTAGCATCACACGCACTAGCATTACACGCACTAGCATTACACGCACTAGCATTACACGCACTAGCATTACACGTACTAGCATTACACGCACTAGCATTACACGCACTAGAATTACACGCACTAGCATCACACGCACTAGCATCACACGCACTAGCATCACACGCACTAGCATCACACGCACTAGCATCACACGCACTAGCATCACACGCACTAGCATTACACGCACTAGCATTACACGCACTAGCATTACACGCACTAGCATCACGCGCACTAGCATCACGCGCACTAGCATTACGCGCACTAGCATTACGCGCACTAGCATTACGCGCACTAGCATTACGCGCACTAGCATTACACGCACTAGCATCACACGCACTAGCATCACACGCACTAGCATCACACGCACTAGCATCACACGCACTAGCATCACACGCACTAGCATTACACGCACTAGCATTACACGCACTAGCATCACACGCACTAGCATCACACGCACTAGCATCACACGCACTAGCATCACACGCACTAGCATCACACGCACTAGCATCACACGCACTAGCATTACACGCACTAGCATTACACGCACTAGCATCACACGCACTAGCATCACACGCACTAGCATCACACGCACTAGCATCACACGCACTAGCATCACACGCACTAGCATCACACGCACTAGCATCACACGCACTAGCATTACACGCACTAGCATTACACGCACTAGCATTACACGCACTAGCATTACACGCACTAGCATTACACGCACTAGCATTACACGCACTAGCATTACACGCACTAGCATTACACGCACTAGCATCACACGCACTAGCATCACACGCACTAGCATTACACGCACTAGCATTACACGCACTAGCATTACACGCACTAGCATGACACGCACTAGCATGACACGCACTAGCATTACACGCACTAGCATCACACGCACTAGCATTACACGCACTAGCATTACACGCACTGGCATTACACGCACTAGCATTACACGCACTAGCATCACACGCACTAGCATCACACGCACTAGCATGACACGCACTAGCATCACGCGCACTAGCATCACGCGCACTAGCATTACGCGCACTAGCATTACGCGCACTAGCATTACGCGCACTAGCATTACGCGCACTAGCATTACACGCACTAGCATCACACGCACTAGCATCACACGCACTAGCATCACACGCACTAGCATCACACGCACTAGCATCACACGCACTAGCATTACACGCACTAGCATTACACGCACTAGCATTACACGCACTAGCATCACACGCACTAGCATGACACGCACTAGCATCACGCGCACTAGCATCACGCGCACTAGCATTACGCGCACTAGCATTACGCGCACTAGCATTACGCGCACTAGCATTACGCGCACTAGCATTACACGCACTAGCATCACACGCACTCCACTAGCATCACACGCACTAGCATCACACGCACTAGCATCACACGCACTAGCATCACACGCACTAGCATTACACGCACTAGCATTACACGCACTAGCATTACACGCACTAGCATCACACGCACTAGCATCACACGCACTAGCATCACACGCACTAGCATCACACGCACTAGCATCACACGCACTAGCATCACACGCACTAGCATTACACGCACTAGCATTACACGCACTAGCATCACACGCACTAGCATCACACGCACTAGCATCACACGCACTAGCATCACACGCACTAGCATCACACGCACTAGCATCACACGCACTAGCATCACATGCACTAGCATTACACGCACTAGCATTACACGCACTAGCATTACACGCACTAGCATCACACGCACTAGCATCACACGCACTAGCATCACACGCACTAGCATCACACGCACTAGCATCACACGCACTAGCATCACACGCACTAGCATCACACGCACTAGCATTACACGCACTAGCATTACACGCACTAGCATTACACGCACTAGCATTACACGCACTAGCATTACACGCACTAGCATTACACGCACTAGCATCACACGCACTAGCATCACACGCACTAGCATCACACGCACTAGCATTACACGCACTAGCATTACACGCACTAGCATTACACGCACTAGCATTACACGCACTAGCATTACACGCACTAGCATTACACGCACTAGCATCACACGCACTAGCATCACACGCACTAGCATCACACGCACTAGCATCACACGCACTAGCATCACACGCACTAGCATCACACGCACTAGCATTACACGCACTAGCATTACACGCACTAGCATTACACGCACTAGCATCACACGCACTAGCATCACACGCACTAGCATTACACGCACTAGCATTACACGCACTAGCATTACACGCACTAGCATGACACGCACTAGCATGACACGCACTAGCATTACACGCACTAGCATCACACGCACTAGCATTACACGCACTAGCATTACACGCACTAGCATTACACGCACTAGCATCACACGCACTAGCATGACACGCACTAGCATCACGCGCACTAGCATCACGCGCACTAGCATTACGCGCACTAGCATTACGCGCACTAGCATTACGCGCACTAGCATTACGCGCACTAGCATTACACGCACTAGCATCACACGCACTAGCATCACACGCACTAGCATCACACGCACTAGCATCACACGCACTAGCATCACACGCACTAGCATTACACGCACTAGCATTACACGCACTAGCATTACACGCACTAGCATCACACGCACTAGCATCACACGCACTAGCATCACACGCACTAGCATCACACGCACTAGCATCACACGCACTAGCATCACACGCACTAGCATTACACGCACTAGCATTACACGCACTAGCATCACACGCACTAGCATCACACGCACTAGCATCACACGCACTAGCATCACACGCACTAGCATCACACGCACTAGCATCACACGCACTAGCATCACATGCACTAGCATTACACGCACTAGCATTACACGCACTAGCATTACACGCACTAGCATTACACGCACTAGCATCACACGCACTAGCATCACACGCACTAGCATCACACGCACTAGCATCACACGCACTAGCATCACACGCACTAGCATCACACGCACTAGCATTACACGCACTAGCATTACACGCACTAGCATTACACGCACTAGCATTACACGCACTAGCATTACACGCACTAGCATTACACGCACTAGCATTACACGCACTAGCATCACACGCACTAGCATCACACGCACTAGCATCACACGCACTAGCATTACACGCACTAGCATTACACGCACTAGCATTACACGCACTAGCATTACACGCACTAGCATCACACGCACTAGCATCACACGCACTAGCATCACACGCACTAGCATCACACGCACTAGCATCACACGCACTAGCATTACACGCACTAGCATTACACGCACTAGCATTACACGCACTAGCATTACACGCACTAGCATTACACGCACTAGCATTACACGCACTAGCATTACACGCACTAGCATCACACGCACTAGCATCACACGCACTAGCATCACACGCACTAGCATCACACGCACTAGCATCACACGCACTAGCATCACACGCACTAGCATTACACGCACTAGCATTACACGCACTAGCATTACACGCACTAGCATCACACGCACTAGCATCACACGCACTAGCATTACACGCACTAGCATTACACGCACTAGCATTACACGCACTAGCATGACACGCACTAGCATGACACGCACTAGCATTACACGCACTAGCATCACACGCACTAGCATTACACGCACTAGCATTACACGCACTAGCATTACACGCACTAGCATTACACGCACTAGCATTACACGCACTAGCATTACACGCACTAGCATTACACGCACTAGCATTACACGCACTAGCATCACACGCACTAGCATCACACGCACTAGCATCACACGCACTAGCATCACACGCACTAGCATTACACGCACTAGCATTACACGCACTAGCATTACACGCACTAGCATTACACGCACTAGCATTACACGCACTAGCATTACACGCACTAGCATTACACGCACTAGCATTACACGCACTAGCATCACACGCACTAGCATCACACGCACTAGCATCACACGCACTAGCATCACACGCACTAGCATTACACGCACTAGCATCAGGGGCACTAGCATTACACGCACTAGCATTACACGCACTAGCATTACACGCACTAGCATTACACGCACTAGCATTACACGCACTAGCATTACACGCACTAGCATTACACGCACTAGCATGACACGCACTAGCATGACACGCACTAGCATTACACGCACTAGCATCACACGCACTAGCATTACACGCACTAGCATTACACGCACTAGCATTACACGCACTAGCATTACACGCACTAGCATTACACGCACTAGCATTACACGCACTAGCATTACACGCACTAGCATTACACGCACTAGCATCACACGCACTAGCATCACACGCACTAGCATTACACGCACTAGCATCAGGGGCACTAGCATTACACGCACTAGCATTACACGCACTAGCATTACACGCACTGGCATTACACGCACTAGCATTACACGCACTAGCATCACACGCACTAGCATTACACGCACTAGCATCACACGCACTAGCATCACACGCACTAGCATGACACGCACTAGCATCACACGCACTAGCATCACACGCACTAGCATCACACGCACTAGCATCACACGCACTAGCATCACACGCACTAGCATCACACGCACTAGCATTACACGCACTAGCATTACACGCACTAGCATTACACGCACTAGCATTACACGCACTAGCATTACACGCACTAGCATTACACGCACTAGCATTACACGCACTAGCATCACACGCACTAGCATTACACGCACTAGCATCACACGCACTAGCATCACACGCACTAGTATCACACGCACTAGCATCACACGCACTAGCATCACACGCACTAGCATCACACGCACTAGCATTACACGCACTAGCATTACACGCACTAGCATTACACGCACTAGCATTACACGCACTAGCATTACACGCACTAGCATTACACGCACTAGCATTACACGCACTAGCATCACACGCACTAGCATTACACGCACTAGCATCACACGCACTAGCATCACACGCACTAGCATCACACGCACTAGCATCACACGCACTAGCATCACACGCACTAGCATCACACGCACTAGCATCACACGCACTAGCATTACACGCACTAGCATTACACGCACTAGCATTACACGCACTAGCATTACACGCACTAGCACCGCACGCACCCAGAAGACTAGTAGCACCACAAGTTACCTAAACCCCAAGCCCCCCGCTCCCTCGTGTGCTCACCTGGCGGCCCGTCAAACAGCACGGCGCGCGGGCGGTTGGACTCAAAGTGGGTGCGCGTGGCCCTGGCAATGCTGTCATACACGTCTAGGCGAAGCAGGGCTAGCAGCACCGTGTCCTCTATTTCCCTGGTGGGGCGAGAGGAGGAGGGAGGCGTGAAAAAAGGGGGAACAAAGGGAACAGAGGCGAAGTGAGTGGGCGTGGCTCTGGCAATGCTGTCATACACGTCTGGGCGAAGCAGGGCTAGCAGCACCGTATCCTCTATTTCCCTGGTGGGGCGAGAGGAGGAGGGAGGCGTGAAAAAAGGGGGAACAAAGGGAACAGAGGCGAAGTGAGTGGGCGTGGCTCTGGCAATGCTGTCATACACGTCTGGGCGAAGCAGGGCTAGCAGCACCGTATCCTCTATTTCCCTGGTGGGGCGAGAGGAGGAGGGAGGCGTGAAAAAAGGGGGAACAAAGGGAACAGAGGCGAAGTGAGTGGGCGTGGCTCTGGCAATGCTGTCATACACGTCTGGGCGAAGCAGGGCTAGCAGCACCGTATCCTCTATTTCCCTGGTGGGGCGAGAGGAGGAGGGAGGCGTGAAAAAAGGGGGAACAAAGGGAACAGAGGCGAAGTGAGTGGGCGTGGCTCTGGCAATGCTGTCATACACGTCTGGGCGAAGCAGGGCTAGCAGCACCGTATCCTCTATTTCCCTGGTGTGGCGAGAGGAGGAGGGAGGCGTGAAAAAAGGGGGAACAAAGGGAACAGAGGCGAAGTGAGTGGGCGTGGCTCTGGTAATGCTGTCATACACATCCGGGCGGACTAGAGCGAGCAGCACCGTGTCCTCTATCTCGCTGGTGGGGAGAGAGGGGTGGGGGAAACCAGGGGGGAACAGGGGAGCGGGGGAAGGGGGTGCATGGGCAAAGTGGGTGCGCGTGGCTCTGGCAATGCTGTCATACACGTCCGGGCGGAGTAGAGCGAGCAGCACCGTGTCCTCTATCTCGCTGGTGGGGCAAGAGGAATTGGGGGGTGGGGGAGAGTGGGGGAGAGTGGGGGAGAGTGGGGAAGGAGAGACAGCAGAATGAGTGAAGATTGCAGGAAAGGTATCGTACACTTCAGGGCGGAGCACCTGAAATTTCTGAGACGTCTAAAAAAATCACTCATGTCACGTTTGAAAGCAAGGTATCGTACACTTCAGGGCGGAGCACCTGAAATTTCTGAGACATCTAAAAAATTAACTCATATCACGTTTGAAAGCAAGGTATCGTACACTTCAGGGCGGAGCACCTGACGTGGGGCGAGGGGAAGTGGGGAGAGCGGGGAAGAGAGAGAAAGAGCCGGGGAGGAGAGCAGCAGCACTGTTTTTTCCTCTACCTCCCTCCCTGGTTGGGCAATTTGGGGGGCCGAGGGGATGTGTGTGGGAGAGAGTGGGTGTGTGTGTTGCATGCATGCTGCCTGCAGAACAGACTACACGGCTTCTTACCGTTTCTGCTCCTCATATCCAACCAGATTTCCCCAATCCATCCACCTCCTCTCATCCCCTTTCCCCTCCTCCTCCTGCTCCCTCTCCTTCCCCTCCTCTTCCTCCTCCTCCCCCTCCTCCTCCCCTTCTCCCCTCCCACTCCCTCCCTCCTCTCCACCAGGAGCATACACCATCACTCCCATGCGCTGAAGCTTCTCAGCAATTGCCTGGGACATGCCAGTGTGTCCCTCCCCCCCACCACCACCAGTACCACTGCCACCACCACTGCCAATGGCACCCCTGCTGCTGTAACCACCACTCAAGCTCTTGCCAGTTGTGCTCCAGTCAGGAGCCCTGTCAGGAGATCTGTCAGGAGACGGCAACAGTGAGCCACTCCTGTTGGTATGACCACCACCAACGCCACTACCACTGCGGCTGCTAGCACCTGGACCAGCCTGCTGCTGAGGCCGGAAGGGTGCTGAGCTGTCGATTGCTGATTGGACGGTGCTGACCATGATGTCAAGCTCTGCGGGTGTGAATGCACCTGGCTTGAGAAACTCGATTTCCTGGTTGGAGGAGGAGGAAGAGCAGGAGGAAGAGAAAAAGGTTGAAAGGGGAAGGGAAGCACGGAAAGAGGTGACGACAACCAGGATGTGAATGGTCCTGAAAATAAATAAGAAACTTCAGCAAGAAACAGGAAGGGGAGGGGAAGAAGGGAGGGCAGGACAGCAAGCGGCTGATGGGTAAGGAAAGCACAAATGAGGTCCAAAGGGGTGCAAACTTCTTTGGAAAGCAAAGCACAAAATAGAAGACATTCCAAGAAGTGTGAGAGTTGGGCGTACAATGCGGTCCAAAGGGGTGCAACTCACCGGAGTGCCAAGGCCCACAAGAGGCTCGAACAGCAGCACCTTCACAGCGCCCCCACCCGCCACCACCACCGGCTCTGTTGAATCCACCTGAGGATCCACCTGAGATTCCACCTGAACCCCTGTCTCCCTTTCACCCTGCTCAGATTCCTTCTTGGTGTCTGTGCCCGTGTGCGTTTGTGCGGGCAGGTGCGCGTGGGGAAGCAGCGGCATGAGCACCATCTGGCGAGCCACAGGGCTGAGAGAGAGGACAGCGGGAGGAGGAGGGGAAGGGGAAACGGCAAGGGGAACGGCAGGGGGGAATGGTGGAATGGATGGGGGCAGGGCTTGGCAGGTGCGCGTGGGGAAGCAGCGGCATGAGCACCATCTGGCGAGCCACAAGGCTGAGAGGTCAGAGGGGGAGGAGAGGAGGGGAAGGGGGAAACGGCAAGGGGAACGGGGCATCAGCACCAGCTGCAGAGTCACGGGGAAGAGAGTTCAGGGGGTAAGGGGGAGTGGAAAAGGGGAAAAGGACGATGGGGGAAGGGGGGAATAGCAGGCGGAATGGGGGCAGAGTGGAGGCGGTTAGGAGCGGTATGGATAGGTGCGAGCGGGGGAGGAGTGGCAGCGGCAGCACCAGCTGCCGAGCCATGAGGCCATGAGACCAAGTACCCAGAAAAACATGCCGAAAACGGGAACGTAAAGAGCTGAGCAGTTAAGAGAGGAACATGCAAGAAACGGGGGAAGCGAGGTTGCACAGTGCACAGTGTGTGTGCAGTGAGGAATGGCATGAGTGTAGAGATTGGGCGCTTGGGACGGTTATGAGAGACTGGGAAAACATGGCGAATAGACAGAGGCAGCGCGCAAGGCATAACCACATCCTAAAATGTCCCCAAAAAAACGGATGAACTTGGAAAAAAATGTGACCCTTGTTCCCTCATTCCTTTTGAGGCGCCTCAAAATGTGACCCTTGTTCCCTCATTCCTCTTCCCCTCACCTGTCCCATGCATACACCGCCATGCCGCCTGCCCCCACCATGTCCCCCGCATCATCCACCGACGATGCTCTTTTCTGCACTGCACTCCCAGGCAGGGACGAGTTGAGCGCGGGAGTGATGGCAGGGTGGCAGCCCAGGTGGGCGATGAGGTGGGCGAGAAGAGCGGAGAGGTCGCAGGAGGCCGGGAGACGCATGCGCACTGAAACCTGTGAGGATGGGAGTGGGGAATTAAAGTAGAGTAGAGGGATGAGAGCTCTGGAGAGTGGGGACGCAGTGGCAGGGTGGCAGCAGCCCAGGTGGGCGATGAGGTGGGTGAGCAGAGCAGCGAGGTCGGACGAGGCAGGCAGACGCAGGTGCACAGAGACCTGGTGGGTGATGGGTGATGGGTATCACAGCAAGGGATGGAAGTAAAGCATTGAGGTGGGGAAGCAGCAGCCGGGTGGCAGCCCAGGTGGGCGATGAGGTGGGTGAGAAGAGTGGAGGGATGGCAGACACTGGCGGGTGACAGAGGACAGGCAGGTGAACAGTCCATGATTAATAGGAATGCTTTCAATCGCGGATCAGGTAAGACGAGGAGAGCCCAGAAGGATGAAGAAGCGCATACATGGGAACCACATGTACCATGAAATGTCGGATTACCGCTCACAACCACGTTACAATGCCGAATCACCGTTCATAACTGCATTCGAACGCCGAATCACGGTTTACAGCCACTTTCATTTTCTTTTTCTTTTTTCTTTTTTTCTGCAGCCATTATACCTGATGGCCCTTGCAGGTGACAACTGGGGTAGGTAGTATATACGTCTCTGCACCCACACTGCCTCCAACCCCCCCACCTTCCTCCCTCCTCTTCTCCTCCTCCGCCTCCCGTTTCTGTCTCATTCGATACAGTCTCACCAGCAACCCCCTCCTCGCTGCCCGCACCGCCAGCTCTAGGGCTTCAGGTCCCCCGGCCGCCGGATCTCCCCCAGATTCTCCCAGATTTGGTTTGATTGAATCTGATGCTACAGCCCCTGGGTTTGTAACTCCTGGTGTAACCCCTGATGCAGAATCTGATGTAGCAGGGTTGAAATCTGAAGGTTCTGGAGGGCCTGAGTCACAATAGACGTATGCTGGTTCTAGGGTTGATGCTGTTGCTGCTGCTGCCGCTGCTGCTGCGGAGGCTGTTGCTAGGCTCGCCAATTTGGCAGAGGACCATTGGACCCTGGTGCTCCTGCTGCTTGCTGAGCTGGAGTGCGATGCTGACGCGGACGATGCGGGAATCTGTGACGACAGGTGAAGTGCCGCTGCGTGAATCCAGGGATTTCTTGCTTCTGTGAAATGGCCAGGTTTGTGCATAGGTGGGCGAGCAGGAGAATGCCACGTGGCAGCATCCAGCCGACCAACGAAAAGGCGTTGGAATGAAAATATATGCCTTAGATTCTGTCGCCAAAGGGGTATATGAGGTGGCCCCATGGGGATCGAGCACTTCGAAATCCCGCAGTTCGAGTCGTACAACACTTAAGCAGATTTCAACTCGAAGCTACAGCATACTCTGTAAATGACCTGGTGGTTTGCTGGATGCGAGCAGTCAACGCTGTTCGGTGTCTCTTATTCGATATCCCTGTTCTCTAAGTGGGTGTGGCAAATTCCCAAGGCTTCAGGTGCAGCGCCGTTATTTTGGATAGAAGTCATGGAAGAAGGGGAGCCGAGATGTACATGGAAAGCGTGCGGAACACGCTTGACAAATGTGTGGTTTCTTCCTCACAATGAAGTAATATCGATGGGCGTAACGGTGTATAAACCATAGAGAACGTGTGCTATGTTCGATTGCCTCTGAGGCGCGTACAATTTCTCTTCTGAAGTTGACGAAGCTTCACGACATCGCAGATTGCTGTCGTCAGGGTGAATTGCTGCTCTTCCCCAATCTCGACTCCGCGAATGGCCAATCCCAACCTTCGCGCAGTCCGACCTTTCTGATCCCGAATCGTAGAAAAGCACGTCAAGCCAACCAGAGCAGGAGCGCTTCGTAACCTCAGTCCTCTGTGTCCAATCATTTTTGGTCGAGGCCTGCACCACCCATTAGGAGGTGCGAGCGAATCACCACGCTGCTGAATCACCCAAAACACGTCATCCCACGCATTGGTCACGCTGGCCGAAGAGCATATTCTGCCCGCGTTCTTGAACGCGACTGCCCCAACCTGTCGGAGCTTGATTACGTGTGCCAATCGGGAGAAGCTTCAGATTTCGCGTCGGCTTCTCCAACCTGGCACTCACAGACTTCCCCGCCAAACTGCCCCGTAACACGTCAGTGCGCTACGTCTTTCCCCCCACCCGCACAATCTCTCCCCGCCCACTCCCGCTCACACCTCCCTCCCCCTCCCCGCCCACCCGAATTGTTGGGGGCAAATCTCGACCATGCTGGTTGAGAACGTTGAACCGTCGGATGTTTCCGAAGTCGAATGACTTTCATGTCCGCAGCCCCGTCGATCCTCCATATGCACACAGTGCTTCATCCGAAGCAACAGTCCTCTCTGCGAGTATACACCCGTTGCACAGTAGCTCTCGCCTGGTTTCTCAGCTTAGGTGCGCGACCTCCCCCAGTTCTCCAATCAGGAGAAACCAGATTCAGCGAAAGCAGTAGGTCAGCTTAGCAAAAGACCTGGCGCATCAGTTTGGAGGTCAAGTACAAGTTCGCGCGGAAAAAAAATTAGGGGGAAGGGGTACGGGAAATCCGCGCGCGAAGAAAGGGGATGCACCGCCAAGAGGCGAGGAACCGACGAGGGTAACTGCCGGGAGCAGCAACTGCTTCGTTGGCTGCTGGGTGCTGGTTTGATTGGTGTGATCTGTCTCATAGAACATAGAATGGAGGGATGTGATTGTCAAATGTCAACCCAGGAACAGCAATAGCGACCATACCCATGCCCATGTGTCAGGAGCCATCACAATGGCTCTTCACATGGCGCTTTGTCGAGATTAATGTTTCTCACTGAATCTGACGACCCTTGGGCACGTCATACGACCTCTCCAATCAAACTCTGAACTTCCTACTTCAGCTCAGTCTTTTTAGGACGACACTGTCGTAGAGGCTGCGTGCCGCCGCATAAGTATTGTTCCCCGTTTAGCGACTACCAACCGTCGGCTCTGTCTTTCTGATTCGCGGGCAATTAAAGTTCAGGACAACTAGGTAAAAGTCGTTTTACAAAACGCGGAGCATCTAGAACCTGCAAGTTTGAGAAAAGAACCTGGACCGTACGATCTGAGATCCATGGGAAAGCTAAGCCCCGTGGGGCCGAAGCTGGGACACTACTGCGGCGCGCAGAGGGAGGCCGCGCGACCGCAGCTGCTCTCTCCAGGCGCTTATCAGGTGCCCCTTAATAGCTTCTTTTTTATCTTTAAGAACTATTTTGACGCGTATCCGGTGGCTGTCGCGATACACCACTTCAGTACGTTTTAGTTTAAGCCTTAATTATATGCGAGTACTTAAAGAGTACTCTCTCGTTAGGAGACGCGCCATTCGTATTTTTCAGCGTTTTCTTCTAGTTAGGAGTCGCGGCAGGCACGGCAGCCGTGTTAGGGACTCAGATCTAAGCCCCGCCATACGAATTTAATTTCTCCAAGTCGTACCGAGGCAATCGTCTGGAACTTGTCTTCCTACTCGCCTCGTCGTACCACCTTCTGTTCATGCCGTCTCGCTCATCCCGCTTGGTCGACTTACTCTGTCGACACTGCAGTCATGCTTCCTTCCCACTACTATCGTTGAGCCGCGCTTCTATCTCTTACCCAATCTCATTCCCAATTTCGTGCGAGAAATGTGTTAGAATGCCGTCCCGTTCCCCGTTTCGTCGTGGAAGCTGTGCCGTAAGCTGTCCCGATCTCCCCTCATTTCCCCCTCCCCCTCCCCCTTTCCCCCTTCCCCCTCTTCCCCGCTCTCACCCCTTTCCTCCTTTCCATCCTCCCCTCGTTCTCTTCCCACTCTCACCGCTTTTTTGCGTGGATCCTGCAGGCCTCGTCGCCTCTCCCTTCGTTGCGGTGCTGCCACGCGAGCCATGCTTCTTCCGCCCTTCCCATCCCGCCGCGGACCACGTCAGCGACGGCGGCGGCTAATCAGGGCGATCCACGTGGCAGCGAGCGCAAGAAACTGCGCCCATGTCTCTCCGCCCCGCCCCTGTACATATCGTCCTTTTTCTATAAAAACGTCGTAGCGCCTCTGCGCTCCACCCGTTCCCCCTCCGCCCGCTCTGCCGGTTCCCCGCACTCCCCTGGACCTCCCCCTTTCCGCCGCGCCTCCTCCGCCTGCTCGTCCGCTTCTTCCGCCAACCGCAAGAAGGGGGATTCTTCCCTGCTGAGCTCGCGCCTGCCCCCCCTTCTCCCCGCCTCCCCGCGACACCCTTCCGCCTCATCCCCGCCCTCCTCCCCGTTCCTCTCCCGCTCCCCCTCCTTCCTCCCCAGGTCTTCGTCTCTCTCCTCCGCTTCTTCCTGCCCCTCCCCCCACTCTCTCTCCTCCCCCTCCTCTCTCCCCCCTTCTCCCGCGCGCACATCACCCCTTTCTACCCGTCCGCGGACGTCGTCCGGCAAGACGGCCGGCAGAACAACCTGCGCCGGCAAAGTGGAAGCTCGCGCCCTTCGCTCAGGACTCCCGGCGGCTAGCCGGCGGTCGCGCCGGCAACCGGCTGACGACGAGGAGGAATATTTTTATTTCCTGCCCGATATTGAGGACGACTGGGAAGAGGAGGAGGCGGTGCAGAGGCATCGGCGGGAGGGGCAGCGGTGGCGGGGGGACATCGGCGGGGAGGCGCAGGGGAAGCGCGCGGACGCGGAGCGGGGGGAGCTGGGGGGAAGCGCGGGGTACGGGATCGGATCTGGGTCTGGGAGTGTGTATGATAGCAGCGGCAATGGCGGCGGGATTGGCGGCGGTATGGGCGGCGGTGTCGGTGGTGGGGATGGGTTGAGCAGCTATGGGCAATACCAGGAGTTACATCAACACGCGTTTCATCAATCGTTACAGTATCAACAACAGCCGCAGCCGCAAAACTGGTACTCGTACCCGGATTCACAACAGCAGCCGCCGCCGCAACCGGGGCAACTGCAATGGCAGCAACAGCAGCAGCAGCAGCCGCTGCAGAGACAGCAACCGGAGCAGCAACAGCAGGAACAGCAGTGGCGGCAGCAGCAACAGCAGGAGCAGCAATGGCGGCAGCAGCAGCAAACGAACGATCAGGAGAATAATTTTCAACGTCAACGAGAGCAGCTTTGGGGGTGGCAGCAGCAGCAGCAGGAGCAGTTATGGCAGCAGCAACAACAGCATCAGCAGCAACAGCAGCAGCAGGAGCAGCAGCAGCAGCAGGCGCTGTGGCAGCAATCAGAATTGCAGTCGCGGCTGCAGGCGCAACAGCGGCAGCAGGAGCAGCAGCAACAGCAGAGTGGTGACCTGGCAGTGCCAGCTTCACCAAATCAGGAGCAGCAGCGACACGTCAGCAGCCGCGGCCAGGAGCAAAAGCACCATCACCATCACCACCACCATCACCACAATCACAAGCACGGGCATGGGCATGGGCATGGGCACGAGAAGAGCAAGGCGGTTTCCCGGTCTTGGGTCCCTCCGTCCCAGGCGCATGTGCGGAGGCAGGTGGCGCAGTGGAGTGTGAAGGCGTTGAGAGCGGTGAAAGACAACATGGCGCTGTCTCTGCCGCCCGAGTCGCTCATTCTCGTCGTCTCGTGCCTCGTGGGCGTGTTGACAGGCTCGTCCGTAGTGCTATTTAATGATACGGTGAGTTCTGGAAAAGTATGGCCTTTCGTTATAGTGCCTCATGAGGAGGGCTCCGCGTGACGGGCTTGATTTTTATTTTCCAGATTCAATCGCCCACGTCACTCCACCACTCTCATCGCTCCCAACCGCTCTCCACCACCCCCGCCACCCTCCAGGTGCACATGATCAGAGACACTTTGTTCCAGAACGTGCCTCACGAGGAGGGCTCCGCATGGCTGAGGGACCAACCGGTGGGCGACGTGTGGCACCTCTTCCTCGTGCCTCTGGCGGGCGGCATTGCCGTTGGCATCCTCAACTCGCTCCGATCGGGACTCAAGGATACCGCTCCCACCCGCACGCAGCAGCAGCAGCGCCAGCGCCAGCAGCAAGAGGAGGAGGGAGCAGGGCAGCAAAAAATGTCACCCAAGCAAAGAGCCTTCTCCCTGCCGTTTCTCACCCCGGACGACGTCTCCGAGCTTAACCGGAAGGCTCGGGCCGTGGCTCGGCCGGTCCTGAAAGCCCTGGCGGCAGCGGTCACGCTCGGCACAGGAAACAGCCTCGGTCCGGAAGGCCCGAGCGTGGAAATCGGGTCCAGCATCGGGAAGGCCACAGGAAGCATTGTCCGGGGAAGCCGCGAACGCACGATCGCACTTGTAGCAGCGGGATCAGCCGCGGGTATAGCATCGGGATTCAATGCCGCGGTTGCCGGGTGCTTCTTTGCTTTGGAATCCGTTCTTAGATCCTCCACGCAAGGCTCTCCTGCGAGCCTCACCACGGCAATGATCCTCCTGTCTTCCGTTCTCGCTGCGGTGGTTTCCCAAGCTGGTCTTGGCGCAGACCCATCCATCCACGTGCCCTTATACGAGCTCCGATCGCCGGCGGAGCTGCCGCTGTATCTGCTTCTAGGGTTGTGCTGTGGTGGGGTGTCGATCTCGCTCACGCGCTCGGCGGCGTTCTTCTCGTCGATGTTTGATGGGTTGGAGGCGAATACGAACGTGCCGCCCGTGCTGCTGCCGGCGATCGGAGGGCTGGGGATCGGGGTGATCTCGCTGGTGTATCCCGAGGTGCTCTACTGGGGGTTCCAAAACGTGAATGATCTCATCACGTCACACCCACTCGTGGCTTCCCCTGCGGTACGTGCTGTGTTGCTTGCTGTCATGCTGCATGCTTTGAGTGCTGGTGTATCCCGAGGTGCTCTACTGGGGGTTCCAGAACGTGAATGATCTCATCATGTCACACCCGCTGGTGGCTTCCCCTGCGGTACGTGCTGTGTTGCTGCAAGCTTTAATTTCCTTTGAAGGCTGGGGATCGGGGTGATCTCGCTGGTGCATCACCAGCCGGAGTTCCTCCTCCGGCTAGTGGTATTCAAGGTACTCGCCACGGCCTTCTGGTGCTCATCTCCCTCACTTCCTCTCTTCTCTTCTCTTCTCTTCCCCACTACCAGCCGGGGTTCCTGCTGCAACTGGTGGTAGTCAAGGTACTCGCCACGGCCTTCTGTCGCGGATCTCGCCTCGTGGGTGGCTTCTATGCACCCTCACTCTTCATCGGGGCGGCGCTCGGGGCGGCGTACGGGCGGCTGGCCAGTGACGTGCTGGCGTTCATTGACCCTGACCTGACGCTGACGTGGATCCAAGTGGCCGCACCCCAGGCCTATGCCATGGTGAGTAAGGTCTCAACATGGCTATCTCTCCTCCCTTAACATGCCTCACAATGTGACGTGCTGGCGTTTATTGACCCGGAGTTAACCCGCACGTGGATCCAAGTGGCCGCCCCTCAGGCCTATGCTATGGTAAGGCTCGGCGTACCTAGCTGTTTCTCATACCTGTCCCTTCTCTATTTTGAGGTACCTCAGAGTGCGGCTGCTGGCGTTTATTGACCCGGAGTTAACCCGCACGTGGATCCAAGTGGCCGCCCCTCAGGCCTATGCCATGGTAAGTCTTGCTCTCTTTCCATGCCCGCTCTCTCTACTCTCTCTCTCTTCATTCTTCTGAGGCGACTGACCAGTGACGTGCTGGCGTTTGTTGACCCGGATTTGACCCTCACGTGGATCCAAGTGGCTGCCCCCCAGCCCTGTGCCATGGTAAGTCTTGCCCTCTTTTGGTGCTCACTATCTCCAAGCTCGCTCGCTCTCCTCACTCTCTCCTCGTCCTCGTCCTCGTCCCCCACCCCCAGGCCTATGCCATAGTAAGCCTAACTATTTGCATGGCTGTCCCTCCTTGCTCGCTATCCCTCTCTCCTCAATCCAACCCTCCCAACCTCGTTTTCCTGTCTCTCTCCCCTCAACTTCACCCCCACCCCAATCAGGTGGGCATGGCAGCAACGCTGGCAGGATTGTGCCAAGTACCCCTGACCTCGGTGCTCCTCTTCGAGCTCACACGGGACTATCGCATCATTCTGCCGCTCATGGCAGCAGTCGGCATCTCCTCCTGGCTCGCCTCCACTGCTGCCAGAAGCCCTTGTAACCTCTCACCTCATTCTCCCGTCCTTTTCCCTCTCCCTCTTGCCCCTGTATCAGGTGGGCATGGCAGCCACTCTAGCAGGAGTGTGCCAAGTTCCCTTAACCTCCGTCCTCCTTCTCTTTGAGCTCACACGGGACTACCGCATCATTCTGCCGCTCATGGCAGCAGTCGGCATCTCCTCCTGGCTCGCCTCCACTGCTGCCAGAAGCCCTTGTAACCTCTCACCTCATTCTCCCGTCCTTTTCCCTCCCCCTCTTGCCCCTGTATCAGGTGGGCATGGCAGCCACTCTAGCAGGAGTGTGCCAAGTTCCCTTAACCTCCGTCCTCCTTCTCTTTGAGCTCACACGGGACTACCGCATCATTCTGCCGCTCATGGCAGCAGTCGGCATCTCCTCCTGGCTCGCCTCCACTGCTGCCAGAAGCCCTTGTAACCTCTCACCTCATTCTCCCGTCCTTTTCCCTCTCCCTCTTGCCCCTGTATCAGGTGGGCATGGCAGCCACTCTAGCAGGAGTGTGCCAAGTTCCCTTAACCTCCGTCCTCCTTCTCTTTGAGCTCACACGGGACTACCGCATCATTCTGCCGCTCATGGCAGCAGTCGGCATCTCCTCCTGGCTCGCCTCCACTGCTGCCAGAAGCCCTTGTAACCTCTCACCTCATTCTCCCGTCCTTTTCCCTCTCCCTCTTGCCCCTGTATCAGGTGGGCATGGCAGCCACTCTAGCAGGAGTGTGCCAAGTTCCCTTAACCTCCGTCCTCCTTCTCTTTGAGCTCACACGGGACTACCGCATCATTCTGCCGCTCATGGCAGCAGTCGGCATCTCCTCCTGGCTCGCCTCCACTGCTGCCAGAAGCCCTTGTAACCTCTCACCTCATTCTCCCGTCCTTTTCCCTCTCCCTCTTGCCCCTGTATCAGGTGGGCATGGCAGCCACTCTAGCAGGAGTGTGCCAAGTTCCCTTAACCTCCGTCCTCCTTCTCTTTGAGCTCACACGGGACTACCGCATCATTCTGCCGCTCATGGCAGCAGTCGGCATCTCCTCCTGGCTCGCCTCCACTGCCGCCAGAAAGCCCCGCCGGCCGCAACCGGGCGGCGTTACCGTCTTTGCTCCCTCCAACTCCCCCTCCTCCTCTTCATTCCCTTCCTCCCCTCCTTACTCCTCTTCCTCCTCTCCTTCCGCATCCTCCTACCCATATCCGACTTCGTATTATCCCAGTCCTCTCTCCCCATCGCTCGTGCCGGTTCTTCCCCCATCGCCTGTGCCCCCCTCGCCGCTGCTCTACTCTGGGGCAGGCTCCTATTCTCCTGGTGCTCCTGCTGCTGAAGCCGCTCCTGATGCTGCTGCTTCTGCTGCTGCTGCTACTCGTCCTCCCTACATGGCTTCTCAGGCCCCTGCTGCTCCCCTTCCTTCATATGCGCCGTCTCAGTTCCCTGGCCCTTATCCTGGGGCGCTCTTTACGGGGGATATTTATTCTGGGTCAGGGTCTTGGGTGGGTGGAGGGGGAGGAGGGGAGGGGATGAGAAGGGAGGCTAGAGGGGAGGAGGTAGGAGGGAGAGAATGGGATGGTGGTGGTGCTAGTGAGGGTGGTGGAGGGAAGGGGGCTGAAGATTCTAACAAGACTCCACCTGCTACTGCTGCTTCTGCTGCTGCTGCTGCAGCAGCAGCAGCAGCGGCATCGTTTTCCTCTCCCCCAGGGTACACGGCTCCTGCTTCTGCTGCCTGTGGTCCACCTGTTTCTGGTCCTGGCGCCTATGCTGCATCCCACTCTTCTTCCTACGAATCACCCATCTCCTCTGCACGCTCCTCCCCTTTCGCCTCGCCTTCCTCCTCCCCTCCTTCCTCTCCTAAACGTGCTACCCTCTCCAGAACCCCTTCCTCTGGACCCAAGGTTGCAAGTGCAGCAGCAGCGGCCGCAACAGCAGCGGCAGCAGCGGCAACTGCAGCAGCAGCGGCAGCAGCAGCCGCCTCTAGTGCCCAGGAGAAGGCGTATGATAATCCCGAGGCTTCGGCATACATGCCGGAGCTAGATCTAGCTGCGGAAGTGGCTGCCGAAGCTGCAGGCGTGGCCGCCGAAGCTGCAGCTACGGCTGCCGAAGCTGCGGTGGAAGCAGCAGCGGAAGCAGCCGAAGCTGATAATGCTGGTCTTTCAACAACCGATGGTAATCCTGCCCTTCCTCCAACTGCTGCTGCTGCTCCTCCTGCCAATCCGCTCATGCCAGCTGTCATACTAGACGTGGCAGGTGGGTCGGGAGGAGGGGTTTCGTCAGGTGGTTTTTCAGGTGGTTCAGCAGCAGCCATGGCAGAGTCAAATGCGACTGTGATAGTACTCGAGAGAGCAAGCGGTTTGGTACCCGACCCCCTACCCTCTCCTCCCCTTCCTCCTCCTTCAACCTCCTCTCCCCTGTCTATTAGTGGTCAAGGTACAGAAGCCGAGGAAGCTCAGGCTGATGCGGCCGCAGCAGGAGTGGCAGCGGCAGCAGCGGTGGCAGCAGCGGCAGCAGTTTCAGTGGTCGTGGATGCAGCTTCGGGGTCAGCAGAAGCATCAGCAACAGCAGCTGCAGCAGCAGCAGCAGTAGCCGCAGCAGCAGTGAGCGGTGTGACGGGAATCGCACCTGCTACAGCAGCAGGTGATAGTTCATCAGAAGCAGGATCCACTGAAGTGGGTGCTAGCTCTATTCAAACGCAAGAAGCAGCAGCAATGGCAGCAGCTCAAGTACAAACAGACTCTAGATCTGAGGGCCCAGAGGGAAGCAACTACGGGCTCTCACAAGAGACCCCATCTGCTGGTTTCTCCTCTCCTTCTATCGACCTCCCAACCGCAGACCTCCCTCCTCTTCGAATCCCTTCCCCCACCAACCCCCAGCCAGGCTTCATGACGCCTTCCCAACCCAGCTCTCCTCCTCCTGCTCCACCCTCGTCTCCGTCGTTCGCACCCCTCCCCCCGCCGCCTCCGCTTGTTGTCGTCTCGCGCGACGACGGCGTGTCACTGGACGTGCGCGACGGAGTGTTCTTAGAGGAGCAGCTTTTAGAGGAGCTGCCAGTGGCAGTGGCAATGAATACCTCCTTTGCAGCAGTGGGAGTACAAGCCATGGTGCGGGACGCTGTGGCATCTATGGTGGCGCACAGGCAGTGGTGCTGCTTGGTGCTGCAGGACGGGGGTTATCTGCATGGGCTGCTGACGCTGGTGGATGTACAGGAGGAGGCGGAGAGGCAGCTTACTGCTGGGGGTGCTGCTGCTGACGTGGAGTCTCTTCCTGTTATCACCATCTGTCACCAGCATCCTGACTCTGACGCTTTCCTCCGCTTGCCTTCAGAATCAAATCAAGATGCCAATGGCAACCCCTCGTCCTCTTCCTCGTCTGGCATTGCCGCCCGAAGCCGGCCATCCGAGGCCATCGAGGTGACTTTTCCGGATACCACGCTGCGGGCGGCACGCGACCGCATGACGGCTCGCGGGCTTCGTCAGCTTCCTGTTGTGTTGCGAGAGGAGATGGTGGTGAGGAGGGAGAGGGTGGGGAGTGATGCTTCTGGGAGTGGCAGCAGCAGTGGGAGTGACAGTGAGAGAGAGAGTGGTGGTTACAGCAGCAGCAGTGGTGGGAGCGGGAGTGAGAGTGACCGTGGTAGTGGGAGTGAGAGTGAGAGTGAGAGGGAATACCAAAGAGGAAGTGAAAGGGAGAATGGATGGAGGAGTGTGAGGGGAAGTGGAGGGGGGAGCAGTGGGAGTGAGAGAGAGGAGGGTGACACGGATGGGGAGAGTGGTTCGGATGGCGATGACGTCCGCAACAACGATGATGACATGGCACCTGTAGTGCGTCTTCGGGTGCTGGGGTTGGTGGATCGAGACGACATCTCGCTTGCTTGCAGGTACGGTCTTAGAGGAATTGGATTGGAGAATACCCAAAAGCCGCACTTAAATACTCTCCCGCATGTCCGGTTATCTCAGGCCTGTTCAGCTTCTTCCATACCATCCACCTCCCCTCCGCCTCCGCATGCCTCCAGTTCTCCGTCATTGCACTCACCCATCTCTCTCCTATCATTTCCTCGTACCCCCTCTCCTTCCCTTCCAGGGCGGAGGCCACTCGTCGCCTGCTCTCAGCCCTCCCTCGAGATTTCCGTTCCTCTGGTGGGGGAGGCAGTGGGAGTGCTGGCATGCAGCAGACACAGCTGGACAGCTCTCTCTTCCCAGCTGCCTGAGCCATACACTGTCAGCATGTAATCTTGTCAAAGTGTTATAATGCTTACATTGTTTAGGCTGTAGTGGGGTAACCCATAAGGGGTACAACTCAATTAGGGTTGGTACTTGTACCCAACTCATTCATAGTTCATTCATTCTCGTTCGGTATTCTGACATGGTTACAGAGCAGATCCTGTTTCATGACCGTTTTCTTTAGGGCCCATCGAATAGCGTTGCCCCACTAGTTGCAATGCCCTGCCCCGCCCTGTCCTGCCTGTCGCGCCGCCCTGCTGGCCGCCGCGCCGCCCTTTGCGGCCCGCGAGCCGCCCTTTGCAGCCCGCCGCGCTGCCCTTTGCAGCTCGCGCGCCGTCATTTGCAGCCTGCGCGCCGCCCTTTGCAACCCGCGCGCCGCCCTACTGCAGCCCGCCCTGCCTTGCCCGCGCGCTGCCCTTTTGCAGCCCGCCGCGCCGCCCTTTGCAGCCCGCGCACCGCCCCTTGCACCCGCGCGCCGCCCTTTGCAGCCCGCGCGCCACCCTGCTGCGCGCAGCCCTGCTGGCCGCACAGCCCTGCTGCGCGCCGCCCGGCTGCTGCCTGCCCTGCTGCGCGCAGCCCTGCTAGCCGGCGCCCTCCTGCCCGCGCCGCCCTGTTGCTGCCCGCCCTGCTGAGTGCCGCCCTGCTGGCCGACGCCCTGCTGCCCGCGCGCCGCCCTGTTGGCAGTCGCACCGCCCTGCCCTCGCTTGCGCGCTCCTCTAGTGCTCTAGTGCTCGCGCGCCGCCCTGCCTCCGTGCCGCCCTGCTGGTCGTGCGCCACCCTGTTCTGCCCGCTATGGCTTCTCTCAGTGTACTCACCTTCGATCATGAGGGCCGTCCGATCCAGTTCGATACGTGGCTCGACGACTTACAGCTGTACCTACTGAGCGATTCTAGAGACAGCGTTTCGTTGTTTGACCACACGTCATGAGCCTCTCTCGCCCCTCCCGCCACAGTTGACAGTGCGACTCGCTCACAGTGGCTTACCCGTGACGCTGCTGCTCGCTTAGCCGTTCGCAACCACCTTCCGTTAGCCAAACGCGCTCACTTTGGCCAGCACAAGTCTGCCAAAGCCCTGTACGACGCTGTAGTCGCTCGTTATTCTTCCCCTGCCACAGCTGCTCTCGGCTGCCTTATACTGCCATACCTGTTTCCCGAGCTGTCAGCCTTTGCCACAGTCGAGGACCTCGTTACCCACCTCCACACTAGCGACGCTCGCTACCGCGCTGCCCTCCCAGCCGAGTTCCTAGACAGGAACCCGTCCCCGATGTACATCACTCTCTACTTCATAGTCACCCGCTTCCCTGACTCTCTTCGCGCAGTCAGGGACCACTTTCTCTCACTTGACCCCACAGACCTCACTGTCGACCTGCTCGAGAAGCACCTCCTTGCAGTTGAGACTAGCGTAGTCGCTGTAGGTGCTGCTCGTGGCACTCCTCGCGCGCCCTTCTTTGAGGGGTGTTCCCCCTCCCCCCTTGCCCCCTCCTACGCTTCTGCTGTTGTTGTTGACATCCTTGGTGTTGAGGATGTCGGGGCTGCTTCTGCTCTTAGTGGGAAGCGCCGCAGCAGCAAGGGCAAGGGTGGCAAGAGTGGTGGCAGTGGCAGCGGGGGTGGTGGTGGTGGAGGCAGTAGAGGTGGTGGAGGCAGTGGAGGCGGTGGAGGTGGCGGAGGTGGTGGCAGCGGTGGGAGTGGTGGCGGGAGTGGGGGCTTCGGTGGCGGCGGTGGTGGCAGCGGTGGGAGTGGGGGTGGCGCTGGTGGCGGCAGTGGGAGTGGTGGCTGTCAGAATAATAAACGAGAATGAATGAACTATGAATGAGTTGGGTACAAGTACTAACCCTAATTGGGTTGTACCCCTTATGGGCTACCCCACTATAGCCTACACAAATGTAAGCACTATAATGTTCTGACACACCCCCATAGGCAAAGTGGGGGAGAACAAGTGGTCATAAGACCAGTGAAGAAAAGCAAAGCAAGCTCAGGGTGGATCACAAAGTCACCACACAGTCCGAGCACACGCAAAGGCCCACAAGGCCAGTTCACATGCAGAGTTATATAGAGAGAACAAACAATACAGTGATCATACCCTAGCAAGTGCAAGCATGCAGGTATATATATAGATCACAGTACAAGCAAAGTCACGCAGTAAGCAAGTGAGGCAAAGTAGGCACAAGGCCTAACACAGTAGAGAAGCGCTGATGATCACCAGGCGGAAGTGCCTTGGTGAATATATCAGCAGTGTTGGCCCTAGTGGCCACGTACGCAAGACCGGTGAGGACAACTGGACCCCGTCCTCCAAGCACGAGCCCCATGCCCGACGTACTGCACAAGTAACGCAGTACCCTCTTTGCAGCATCCCAGCGCACCCTTCGGTGCCTACCGGGAGCCACATAGCGAGCCAGGAGGCTAAGAGGGTACGCGAGGTCAGGTCGTGTGCATGTCATCAGGTACATGAGGCAACCCACAAGCTCTGGGTATGGACCACTCGGCTCTACGGACTCGTCCGAAGGTGGAGCTGAGAGCGAGTGGCTGGTAGATAGAGGAGTGGGCTGTGGCGAGGAGAACTGGAAGCCAAAGCCCTGAAGGACCTGGTGCACCATGTGTGACTGAGTCAGTGTGATGGTGCGCTGTGCTCTGTCCCGGGTGATCTGCAAGCCAAGATAGCTGCGCAGTTCACCCAGGTCAGTGCAGGTGTGTCTCTTCTGCAGCTCCGACTTCACAAGGGTCAGTGCCTCAGTGTCAGCAGTGGCAAAGACCAAGTCGTCAACGTAGACGAGGACGTAGAACGGTGGGAGCGAGGTGTCGGTGCGTAGAAACAGCGACGGGTCAGCAGTAGAAAGAGCAAACCCAAGAGCCGCAAGTGTAGTTCTCAGTGTGTCGTGCCACTCTCAAGGCGCCTGGTGGAGACAGTAGACTGGCCGAGGCTCCACTGGGTACCTGCAGGAAACGACCCAGTGAAGCCAGGTGGGCGGCGCAGCCAGATCTCCTCGTGCAGGCTGCTCTGCAGGAAAGCTGTGCTGAAGTCCAGAGAGTGCAACTGGTAGTCACGCCGAGTAGCGACGTGTAGCAACACCCAAAGAGTAGTCATCTTCGGGGTGGGGGAGAAGGTCTGGAAGTAGTCAACCCCCTGTTGCTGACTGAAGCCTCAAGCAATGTAACGCGCCTTGAAGACAGGCGGAGAACCCGGCGGCCGCTTCACCCTGAAAATCCACATGCCATCGACTATGTTCACCCCAGGTGGGGGAACCTCGTCGACGTAGGTGTCTGTGGACTTCCAGGGAGCCATCTCGGCATCCATGGCTGCCTGCCACTGAGAAGAGTAAGGACCTGTAATCGCCTCTGCGTAAGAGCGCGGGGTCGGGATGTCTGGTGCATCCGGGTCTCCCTCAGGGGCAAGCAGCATAGAAGCAAAACGAGGTACAGCAGCTGCAAGACACTCAAAGTCCTCCTGCTTGTCCTCAAGGACGTCAATGCCAATAGCACACTCACCCCCGACGGACGGAGGACTGGCAGACGCAGACTCAGCAACAAGAGCAGTGGCGTAGTCTAGACGACAGGCAGCAGCAAAGTCAAGCAGCTCAGCAACGAGGGCAAACGCAACAACAGACTCAAAGGAAGGGTCCGTGACAGCAGTGGTGAGGAGACAAGAGACAGTGGGACTGGTAGCACGAGCGCGGTCAGACTCAGGGTCAGGGACGGCAGGAAGAGAGGACTCAGGAGGAGCTGGCAGAGGAACGCGCAGTGGAACAGAGGAAGGACGAAGAGTCATAGCGTGTGTGCCCGGGACAGGAGGAGGACGCGGACGAGGAACGCAACGACCAGTGCGAACAGGGGAGGCAGGACGAGACGCAGGCTCACGACGCTTTGTAAGACCGCCGGTCTGCTCAGTGTAAGGAGAGGGAGCAGGTAGTGGGGAGGCTGGCTGTAACGACGGCTGCGACTGGTCAGGCGGTGGACACAGTAAGGGAGGAGTAAGGCCAGTAGAAGACGGGACACCAAGAACCTGCTGAAGCAGGGGAACGAAGTATGGTCGCGGCCGCACAGTGCCTCCAGGGTGAACAGCTCCAGCAACTCCAGCGCCTCGAGCACCAGTGCCTCCAACTCCAGCTCCTCCAGCTCCAGCGCCACCAGCGCCAGAGCCTCCAGCTCTAGCAGCTCTAGACTCCGTAGGGTCTCCAGCTCCAGCGCCCCCAACACCACCAGACTCGGCAGCTCCAGTACCCTGGGTACGAGCACCTCCAGGATAAGTAGCCGCAGTACCTCCAGCACCTCCAGCTCCAGCGGGTCCAGCAGTAACTCCAGCACCTCCAGCTCCACCGGGTCCAGCACCTCCAGCTCCGATAACTCCACTCCGAAGGCGTGCGCGCCGAACAAGCCACTCACGCAGCTGCTGCGGAGACAGTCTCGGCGAAGCACCAGCAAAACCTCCAGACGAAGCAGCACCCTGAGGCTCAGCACCCCCAGACTCCGCACCCACCGACTCAGCACCCCCAGGCTCAACACCCTAAGGCTCAGCACCCCCAGGCTCAGCACCCCCAGTCTCAGTACCCCTAGGCTCAGCACCCCCAGGCTCAGCACCCCCAGGCTCAGCACCCCCAGACGCACTACCTCTAGCAGCACCTGAGTCTACAGCTACCTCACCAGGCACAGCACGAGGGGGTGGGTCTACCTGAGAGACACCTGAGGGAGCAGGACCCTAAGGAGGGAGGGGGTCTAACGGAGGGGGACCTGGAGCAAGGAAGAGCGGCGGGGGAGGGAGAGGGGCAGAGCGGTAGGGGAAGAGACGGTAAAAGAAACCGACTCGTCAAACGTGACGTCCTGAGAGGGGAGGACACGGCGCGAGGTAGGGTGGTAAAACTGCCAGCCAGGCGCGTCGGGGACAAAGCCAAGGAAGACGCAGGGAATGGCGCGGGTGGAGAGCTTGTCCGTGGACGTATCGCGGACAAAGGTACGAGAACCCCAGACCCGGAACACCGACGCATCGCCAACCTTCC